GTTGGTCTTGGCATGGCCATTCTCCTGGAAGGAAACAATGCAAATTTCATTCCTGAACAAGCACATCACCAAGCCATTTAAGCAAAAATTAGTTGAGTGTTCATTGCTTGTAATCTTGCATGTAAGGCCAAACACTAGTCTATATATATGAACATGTGGATGCAAGGCTGCCACCAGCCAAATATGGTGTGCTCATATTTAATCAAATGCACTGACTAGCAGTAACCAATAGGAAAATAGCCCTAAAACTGCAGCCACATCTGTTACCAGGAGAGTGACGACAGATCTGTGGCTTTCAGCAGTAGGCTACTCGGTTAGACCGCAGTACCGTCGGGATCCAGCAGGTGGCGTTCAATGTGAAGACGGTCGAAACAACATAGGAATTTTGGGATATTTTTTCCCCCTTATTTTATTGCTAATGTAGTAAACCAAAATGTGCAATTTTAAGTTAGTAATACTTCTTTCATCCCCATCTTTATGTTTATTATAAGCAATTCATTTTGTGGTTTGTGTGTGTGTGTAAAAACGTGGTTTCTTTCTTGAACCTGGCAACAAAGGCGTGGTATCGGTTTTTAAAATGGCCATGCCACAGTGAGAGCGACCACAGACCCCCGCTGCACACATTTCAACCAAATGAATTAAAACAGCCCCATTGTGCAAGGAGCTGAAGCCCCAAAGCAGCTGTGAAATGTTTGCAATAAATTGAAAAAAAAAAAAAAAGCTTTTTCAATCATTCTGTCATAAAGATTCATCATATCTCCTACATATTCAAAAGATAAATTAAAAAATATATACATGTAAAAATTCAAAGCATTTTAATTGTGTAGAAAAAAACTGAGTTTGAAATAACGTGGCGTTGGATAAAACATAAAACTGAAACAAAGCAGTCGCCAGTGAAAATGGATACATGTGGCCACTTTCCCTGATGCCGGTGAGCGTGGGGATGCGCTACAGGGAACATGGAGCACGCCATTGACTCAACACATCGGTAAATTGAGACTAAATTCCGCGTGGGCAATTAAGATTTCAATGATTCAAACGTAAATTTACCTGTCCGTTTGACTTGGCTGCAACAGCTGCACCTTCTGCTGGCTTTTCTACCGCAGCTTCCTCTTTTCCAGCGGTTTTGGAGATTTGTGCTCCCATGCTTTTGGTCCAACAAAGGAACCCAACCGATTCAAATGAATGAACAAAGACCGCAAGCTTCCTCCCCAAAAAAATCAAGTCAAACGCCGCTGACACCTCCTTCTCCAAGCGAAGCCGAGGAATCAGCCCGAAACCGAAGTGACCGCAAAGGGACGTGTGAGAACTTGCAAGGGAAAAAAATTGTGGCGAAGATGCGAAAGAGACGCGAATTCTTTCAATTTTTTCTCGAGAGCAGAGTTTGTAAATGGAGAAATTGGCCCCGCTGCAAATGAGATGCGGAGTACAACGCCCAAGTCCACTGATGAATGGGCAATGGGGCTATGACGACACAGCCAGCCCGTCTCCACCAATCACAAGTCCGAAATCCAACGAGTGGGGGGGTCATGGAGTGGAGGGCCATGGACAATGGCAGAGACACAACAACATGCCCAACAACTTGATTTAAATGCACGTTACAATGTCGAAAGTTGATCCCCCCCACCACTAAAATCATGACTGAGATTTAATAGAGCTTTAATGTCTAGTAGATTTAGTTTACTTCAATATCCCAGAAATCTCACTCCAGAAATATTTACTTTCCTTATACTGAGGTAAACAATATGTTTGGAGATGTGTTTTTAAAAAACTACAAACATGGCCAGCATTTCTTTTTACATGTAGCCTAGATGACGATCATCAGCTTATATAGCTTCAGTAGGCTATTTACTTTGCACTGGCAAATATTTTGGCAATTCTTCCATTTCTAAGTGCAGTAAATGCCATCTACAAGTCCAATAAAATTATCTTTTTTTTGTAATTGTATCTATATACAATAATTTACAATAAAATAGCCTACAACATAGCTTAAAACCTAATATATGCCAGCACCAAAACAACAGCATGTTTTGGACAGCTGAGCTGGCAAAGCAGAGCTCAGCTGGTCTCATGTTATATCATCACGCACCCTCCTGACATATGCCCTGCTCAGTAAACAGACGTCCCCTCTAACTATAAGCCCCTGTGCCCACAACTTCCCTCATCCCTCCTCTTGCATAATAGCGTCTTGTCTGCTTGTTGCAGCTGGAGCATCCCAGTGACCCAGATATAATGAGAGTTTATGGTCCTGTGCTGCTGCTGCTTTCTCCAGCAGCCTGCAGTGCTCTGACTCCACCACCAGCCACAAGTCTCCCGTCTCTCTGCCATCACTGCATGACCCACATCTCCATGGTTACCAGTCCAAAATGGCCCCAAGGAAGAGGTTGCACGTTGAGGGCTGAGTGATCCTGACTCCTGGTTATGGAGAAGTAGGGTGAGAGTGAGTTGAAAACCAAACAGTGCAGACAGCAGTTTGAGGATTAGGGTGACTTCTTTCACCCACCCTCTCTTCATCAGGCTAACTAGGCCACGCTCATTGTTGTGATATTCTGATTACATGCAAAGCTGCATTTATTATGTTGAGCTGCCATGAATAAGTGAACCGGAGGACAAAGCCAACAGGGCATGAAGTGTTTTCAAAAGCACCATGCATGCCGGGCATTTAGATGTAAAGATTTCACCTGTCAGGAATTGATACTGTTACGTCTATGATATCTATACCATGTCATTATCCTAGGTGTGTGTGTGTGTGTGTGTGTGTGTGTGTGTGTGTGTGTGTGTGTGTGTGAGCAAGAGAAATTTGTGAACTAATACCTCAAAGCATAAAAGGCTTCAAATCAACACATCATGCACTAATGTTTTCAATAAACTTCTCACTATAAATTATATCAAATATAACCCATTAATGGTCCCATCCAGAAAAAAAACAACAGAGCAAGTTTCTTTATTATTGTTTTTTTTTTTTTTTTTTGATTGACCACACACACATTTTTCTTTTAAAAATTACGAGCCACTACCAAACAGTTGAGATGTACTTTTGTGGAAAATTACTATCAAATGATAAAGACGTCAGTAGTATTTGAACAGGTTTGCAGATATGATATTATATGTGTTAGACACCATAGAACAAGATCGCAATGTGTAGCATCACCCACGATTCATGTCAATAAAATTTCCCTCCTAAATTTCACATTTTGAAAAGACCACACTGTGTTAAAAAGGCTGATTAGTCTGATATAGACAATTAGCCAGTTTACTGAGGCGAACAACAAAAAATTTGTCAGCAACAATTTTTAAAAGCACTTAGTTCTTTGTCACGTAAAACGACAAGCAGATTCTCCAGCTACTGTAAATTTAATATATTTGGACAGTTGGTCAGACAGAACAACACATCTGAAGACATCACCTTCTGTGATGGACATGTTTCACTATTTTCTGAAATTTTACAGACAGAACAGTTTAAAAAAGGACATGACAGATCAGTTGATTGTTGGTGCAGCTGTACTTTGATATGCTAGAAGTCAATGGACAGTCTTAGGCGGCACAGGGGGCTGACCATTAGTGTTTGGACAAAGTATCTTTCAAATAAATGTAATATATAAAACAAATCATCCTTATATTAGTGTATGTGACTGACGGTGATTTCAGTATTCCTTTGCTCCTAAGTATCTTCTTATAGGCTGATCAGAATTAACACCTGCAAAACTGGAGGAATGTTAAGTGAATGGAGGTCAAAGGTCACCGCCGTGATTCATAAATACATTACTAAGCAGCTCTTGTAAAGTATCAACAAGTATCATATATTTTAATCTGGGTGAGGGTTGTTTTTTGTCCTTGCACCCAAAGTTCCCTCTCAGTGTTTCAATTTTGCTGATGTTTTCCAGGTTCAGTTGCTTGGTAAACTTCCTGTGAAGGTAGTGAGCACCTCAACTTTGACTGAAAAATGAAAAAACTGCCAGGAGAATTTCGGTTTATAGTGGGACTTTACTCTGCTATTATTCATGTTGCATGGAAGGCAAAGTGTATATGCATCTTTTAATCCCCCAGCAGGTGATTTCACTTATGAGCAGCCCTTCAGGCAAAAAAGGAAATCACCTGCTGTTGATTTTAGCTGGAACAAAACCTTACACACCCAGACCTGAATGGGAAATTGTTGAACACAGCTGGATAATACAAAAGACAACACCCACAGGTTTATGAACATTTTCTCTTGGCTCCAATTTAAATTTTAGGTCTAATTAATGCTGCTGTTTATGTATGAGGGAAATAAAATCAACTGTGAGCTCTAATTGACTTGAACAAAAACAGACACTTTCCCCACCTTGCCTTGTTTTTCAGTCACTCCAAAGAGGAGGAGGCGTCCTACTACATATTGTAATTTCTGGTTGGAGGTAAAAAGTGTCAATCATACCTCTTGGTCGATGTGGATCCGCATCAGCCGTACGCAATAGCAGCTGTGTCAAGACCACCATGGATAAACCGGAAAGGAAAACGATTTTTAAGTTCAAAATAAAATCACAAAAGTTATTATTTTTGAAATGATGTATTAGACGTGCTTATTTTAATCTTACTCGTACTAATATAGGTTATGTGAAATTATCACCCTACAGAAAGGATAAAGTTAAAAAAAAAAAAACGTTATAATAAACTTTATTCATAGAGCACTTTTCTTAATGTTACACACTTTACAAAAAGAAAAAAAAACAAAGTAAAAAGAACATGAGCACAGAGGAAGTAAAAATAATAAAATTAACGCGATCGAATAAATGGGAATAGAACAGTACAAATAAAAACCCATCACCTATAAAGTAGTGTTAAATTCATATTTGTTTGATGAAAATGTGCGTCATCCTTGTTTTACCTCAATTCCCCCCCCAAAAAAATATTTTATCGTATTTTATCGTGAAAGGCTTCATCGGAAGTGTTGTTTGTTATTATCGCGAGCTTGCCACTAGTCGCCATCGTCATCATCTGTACACACGGCGGCGACAGGACTTCTTGAATCGGCAGCAGGGACGGGTCTCCCTCCGCTATTCTGTCTCAATGCGAAGAAAACACACTGACAGAAAGTAGAAACACTTCAGCGAATTCCCACACGAAAGTCTCTTTGGAAACTCCGATGGATTAATCTGATTTTTCTGCGGTAAGTACGCTTTTTCCCCCTGTGTTGAATTTCAATTGGTGCACCCGCCTTGTCCCCTATTTTGCGCTGTGGACTGCGAGATGAATTCATCTAGGGAGAGCCGAGGAGATAAATAACACATTGTAGGTCGCTGCATTCAGGCCAGCATTCACTCTAGATACGCTGCACATGTAGCTTAATCTGTTTGGCGGATGACTTTGCCCTCAGACGGGGGAAAACACAGGGAGAGAGCGGTGATGGTCTCGTAATTGTGGGTGATGTTTTGCAGTGCTGTGATTCTGGAGAGGGGGCTCTTGTGTGTTGCAGCAGCAGCAGCAGCAGCAGGGATGGACGCGCTGCAGAACAGAGCTGACCACTGAGGCCATGCACACACATAATAAATGCCACAACGGCCTGCAGACAGCCTCCTGTTGATTTACCCCAAAATAATTGTCATGGGCTTTGAGCTAATTGCATTGCCACGCTGTTAACTATCAAATTAAGGCTGCCCTAATCGGGTTATCTGATGTGTCTGGGGGGTGCAGCCATCCATCTTGTAGGCAAACACAGGGGATGATATACTGTGAGTGTGTGTGTGTGTGTAGCTGGGAGCTAACCTCAGTCTTATACATGTGCAATAAGTTACGCAGTAGTTGTGTGTTGGTTTACAAATATGCACACAGCGCCCTGCAGCTCTGAGCATTCAGCCTGCCATTGCTCCATGAATGACTACACAATAGCTTGCGTGATATGTATCAAATTTGAATGAAAGGACTTTCACATTATGGTTCATGGACCATGAACATTCCCCCTCTGGCCCTCTGTGTCCATACAGGGGCACCTACTTCTCAGTTATGCTGGCACAGAAGCTGCCACTTGCGAATTCAGCATTTCAGGTTGCCATGAAATATGTTGTCATGAAGGTGTAATGTTTAGCCCAGCAAGGGGTTAATTGATTACTTTAGTTAAAGCAAAATGTGTTGATTTACAAGTTTACCGTTTGGAGCCTATGCTTGGTTTTGTCAGTCCATAAATGCCACACAGACAGCCAGGGCTGTAACTAACAACTTTCATTTAGGGTTCCAGCGATTGGTCGATTAATCGATTAGATAGATAGATAGATTAATGGACTATGAAAATAATGATTTACTTGACGAATTGACTAAGGCTTTGGTCCATTAAATGTTGGAAAATAAAGAACAATTTCCATCCCAGTTTCCAGAGTCCAAGTTGACATTTTCAGACGTCTCGTTTTGTGCAACCAGAGATATTCAGTTTATGATATAAAATGGAGAAAGGAAGCAAACGCTCACATTGGGGAAAGCTCACACCACAGAATCTGTGGCATTTTTTGCTTAAAAATGGCAAACAATTCTTAAGATAGTTGGTATTTTATTTTCTGTCAACATGACTGATCTATTTATCAGCACTCATCCATCCACCGTGTGGCTCGTGGCTCAGTTTGCACTTTCCATCAACCCAAGTGTTATTCACTTCTAGCAGAAATCTGCCAACCTACATTGCTGTAGGCCTGCAACATCATTATTTCCAGTGGGTTCTTACAGTGACCATTGCCCTGCTCTGGCACAAGATTTGGAAAGAATCATTTAAACCCCCCCCCCCCAGTGTAGACTGACAGGCACAAGCAGCGAGAATCTGTTCCTGTTCATGGAGAGGAAAAAAGAAAAAGAAAAAGTTAGTTCAGGTTTTTCTAATTTGCCCTTTTATCCCATTTGGAAAATGTCCATGTACGAGGCACAAATCTCGCTGACTGACTGGTTGTTTACAATGGGCTCAGTGATTTAACAACATGACTCAACATACTCAACTGTGAACACTGTGACACCAAAGCACAGTAATGCTTAAACCCACACATACATACTGTATGAAGCTCAGCTGTGGGTTTTTATAACTGGCTGTGTTCATTCAGTACGTGAAGAATGCTTTGAAAGCCTTAACACTGTATTTCATTGTGCAGATAATCTTGTTGCTGAGTGAAATGTGGCCATTGTCTTGTTGTTGATACACTGAATGAACTCAGTTGTCCGACACAAGCAAATATTGTAACTATTCAGAGAATGGCAGCCATAAGTAGGAGACTGTCAGAGTTGTACCAAATCCAGTAAACACTGCAGTGAGTTTTATGTGCATTCAAATGGCGCACAACTGAAAATGATCCTCACTGGGTCGTTTCTTTGATAATGTACAAGTTGTATTTTGCAGTTGAATAAGGTCACTGCAAATGTGACTTCAGTGGGATGGGTGTGGGTGGTTTGACCTTGTATTGAAGCATGTCAATGATCTGAGTGTAAAGGGACCCACACTCCAAATTAAACAGGCCTGACTTGTCTTGAATTGCAAAAATGATTGTATTCTGAGGCGATGTGTAAGTTCATTGGGGTCAAATAATGAAGACATTCCTGGATGTAATAACCAGTTGAGCGCAGTCTCACAGTTTATTAGTCAAATTTCAACGGCTCAAAGCTTCCATTTTCTCTTTTACTTAGATTCTTACTGTCATTTCTTGCATCACTAATAAAGAACAGAAATAACATCAGGTCAGCTGGTTACCAGTTAGATAGTGTGTCCCCATTAAAGCAGCAATTAGCCTATTAATGAATGAGCCGATTGATGGAAAATTCAACAGCAACTCGTTTCATTCTCTGGTTTCAGCTTCTTGAATGAGAGGATTTTCTGTTTTTCTTGGTCATTTCTGAAAGTAAACTCAATATACTCAATAATGTATTTTGGACCGATGGTCGATGGAACAAGACATTTAAAGAAACCACCCTCAGCTCTGGCAAATTATAATGGCCTTTCTTTCTTTTTTTTTGACATTTAATAGACCAAATGATTAATTGAGCAACCTTTCTTTGTTGATCGATTGATCAGTTAATAGTCACGTTGTTTCAGCTCTACAGTGAATTAAAACCAGGGCTTTCAAATGATTTCACACACATCCAGATATCTCTGTAACACGACATCAGACTGCACATGTGTCTGTTTCTCAGGCCTGACTGACTGTCTCCTGTTTAATCCATCAGTTACGCTGTGCGACCCTGACATGTCTGTCCTTTTAATTTAGTATATTGATCTCGCAGCTTCACTATAAATGGCCGAGTATCTCATTATGGCTCCCAGCTCTGTATGTGTATGTGTGTTAGTATAGATGATTAACACTTGTGCCCATATGGCATCAGTATCAAGGCCTTCATTTCAGTAAATTAATTTCCAGTTGAGCCTGACAGTTGTGACTAATGTAGTAGCACTAACCCTGTCCTGTTACTCTTTGTTCAGATAGTATTGGCTTCTTCGTCTCGCTCCATTCTTCACTTCCTGATGTGAATGAATCCTGCGGCAGCGTTGACAAATAGTACTCAACAGATTTGGCCAGACATCAAAGTCAGATTTCAGACTGCATCTTGAGCCAATCAAGATGAGGCGTTTTTAATATGTGAGCTCTGCCCGTCTTTGTTTGTGTGTGTGAGAGTCAAGTCCACCCACTCTTTCCCCCCCGTCTCGGCCTTGTGCTGTTAACTGTTACAACACATTACGTAGCTACGATCCTGTCCCCACTGGACCTTCCTAATCACGCCAGTGTGGTCGTCTCCGAGGCAAGATGTTCATTTGGGCCTGAAAATAGCGTGATGAGGTGGCCATGTGATACCCAGGCGGTGCCACGGAAAAGGAACAAGCCCTGTGGCTGTGATGCCATCATCTGCTTTTTTCAGATGGGGGGGGGGGGGCCACAGGTTAGGAAGGACAGAGCAGGCTAGCATGTGTCTGAAATGATAAAATGCAAGTAGAACACCCACCTCACATCATGATGTTACAGTGCTTTGTCTCGACATTTTGATATGATCCATAGCGTTGAATCATGCGTGTAATTGAATAACAGACAATAGTTGTCCCTTGGATCCGAGAGCCAGTGATTAATGCTTGTGAAGCTCTTATTATATTATATTGTATTGAAAATGTGATAAAGCTGCCTGTTGCTATCACATGCACTTGAGATGTTTCTGATCTCCAAAGATGGCGGATTTTCATTGCACCTATGCAGCGACTTCAGTCACAACATGACCTGTACACAGACATGATTCATATGCAAATGCTTACTAAGCGAAGACTGTGCCAAAAAAAAAGACAACAGCACAAAGGGAACATGTGTATATAAACAAAACAAGATGGCCTAGATTCTGTGCAGCAGATGCATACAGGTGTGTTCAAGCTATGGTAGTCCCTGGCCTTTTTACTTGAAGAGCAGGAAGATTTTTATAATCCCCACAGGCAGCACGACGACATGAGATCTCCCCTCATTTACTCTGATCCCTCCAGGAGTGGAGGCAGTGCTATTTCAATCACTGCAGTTCAAGAGAAAATCCACCAGAAAACAGAATCTACTTCAACTACAGTATCTTAGTCAGTTTAGTTAATATTTCCAGGCTTGTGCAATTCCCCACTAAAATTGTCAAAGACTTGTGACTAACACAGTTTTCATCATTCAAGAGGTCGGGCTGGAGTGAATGTTTCTGGACTGTGTTCTTGTGTATGTGCATAGATATTTTGTTTTAAACTCATGCCTCCTGTTTTAGATATATTCCGATAATTTTGGAAAGTTAAATCAATCTGCTGTTTTTTTTTTTAAAATTAGTTTTGTAATCTATAAATTGTCTATAAAATGGAGTGAATCCCCATCACAATATCTCAAACCCTATAGTGACGTCTTGTTTTGTCCAACCAGCGGAGAACAACAGCAAATGCTTTTATTTTTATGAGATGGAAACAGTGAATCATTTTCAGTTTGAAATTTTCTTTGACAATCTATCATTTATCAAAGTTGCTGTTTGGCAAATTTTTCTTAACTAATCAATAAATTGTCGACGCTTCTGAAAAGTTGACAGTATATCAGTAAAACAGACTCTGAACTGACACGTTTCGACACTTTTCAGGGAGGCTTATGCTTTTACCCCTGAATGGAAATTGGAGGCTAAACACATGTTTCAAAGTGGATTTTTGCTGCAGATATACCTGCTGTAAAGTAGGGTGCTGTAAATACCAGAAGATGGGAGATGTAAATATAAATGCCAAGAAAGATTATCTAGAGGAGCAGCAGTCGTCCTCCTCCTCCTTCTCATGTTTCACTCTGTGGTCTCAGCTTTGGTCGGGGCTTATACTGTAATGCTACCGCTGGGCTTGTTTCTTCTTCTGGGTATTTTATGGGGTTTTATTGGCAGCAATGAATCACAGTGTTCTCCTTCTCTCTGCAGTGGTTCCCATCTTCTTGTTAGTAAGGTGTGAATCCTATATTTAGTGGGAATGTATTTCATCATTGGGATTCCACAAGTCCTCCTATGTTATTAGTGGCTTTTACTTACTTACTTGTACTCTACATTGCACAGTTGGATAATTTTAGTCTGCTGACATGGATATCTCAAAGACAACATAGATAAGATAATGGCAACGTGAAACAGATGTTCAGATTTGAAATCAGTGCAGTTGCTATAAGTGAAACTCAAATAGTCTGCTTTGTGTTTTCTTTTTCCACTACTTAGCTAATGGTACTTTTAAAGACTGTATTTTCCAAATCCAGCAAATGAAGTCCACAAATGAAGCCGTTATAAAGAATCCAGCCAAAATAGACATTAGTAAAGGAACAGACAAAGAAATGGTGTCACAATATCAATACTGGCCAGAGCAATTGTGCAGTCCCTGAAAAGATCCCTTATTTTCCGGGTTTCTTAAAAAATTAGTTGCTTTTAATTGCGTTATGTCTTCGACTACACACCATACTTAACTTTGTCTGTTGCAGTGCTCTCGTGTGCAACAAGTGACACATCTGTTTACACTTTTTTTCTGATGGGAGCACTTTCTTGCTTGTAAATGTAAAACAGGCCTGAAGGAATCCAGTCATATACTGTGTAGCTATCCTTGTAACCATTAAAGCACCGGTGTCCTTCAAAACATGCCTCTGACTCATTTAAGGCTGCAAACTGGTTTCCTGAGAAAAGATTTCACAAACATGACGTGATCGTTTTTTCAGATATTTCCTTGGTTTGCTTCCAAGCATTAAGAGAATCACATCAGGGCTGCAATTATTATTATCATTTCATCTAGCAGTTACTTTCTCGATTAATCGTGAGTAAATAGCAAAAAAGAATGCCCATCACAAGTTTCCAGAGCCCATGATGACATCTTAAAATGTCTTCTCTGACTAACGGTTCCAAACTTAAAAAAATATTCAGTTTACTATCATAACAGAATAAGAAAACCAGAAAATACTCACATTTGAGAAGCTGGAACCAGTAGATTTTTGTCATTTTTGTTTTAAACAACTAATTGATGATCAAAATACTTAATTTTCTATGGACTGAATAATTGCTTTATCTCTAAATCAAATGTAAGGAGTCTCAAAGCATCTTCTGACTGAAACTGAATCTTAAGATGTGATGTTGCTGGTTATTTTCAGCTATTATTTATTAGTTATTTCACTTGTCCTTAACCTAATGTTTATGTTTATCTCACTGGCAAACACATTTTTCTCTTTAGATGATCATTCTTCCTGATAGATTAATTACTCTTGACAGAAAAGAGGCACCACCTGTTAGTCGACCAACTGCGCTGTTTTTGTGGATGTAACCGAGTCTTTAGCCGGGGTCAAGAGCAGTGTGATAGTTTCTTCCTCTCATCCTCCGTCTGCAGCAGCGCTGGCGTTTGCCCCGAGCACCACGTCTCTCCACGCACAGCGACTGTAAACAAGTGTGTTTCCAATTAGCCGTTTCCGAAGTCAGCTGGCCACTAATGCTGATGAAAGCCGATGGCCGCTCTCCCAGCCGTGTTCATGGGCTTCCAGGGCTTCCAGGGCTTAAAGGGGACGGTGGGAGGGTGGGGTGGGGTGTGGGGTTACGGTGAGCCAAAATAACGATGGTCAGGCTGTTTTTAATTGGGAAAGCGGACTGCCACAGTCATTACAGACACTGGTTTAGCTTTGCTGTAGTGAGGCCAAACGCTCCATCAGTCCCCCTCATGAGACTCTGTGTGTAAAGCCAAAGAGCAGTTTGCTGTTTTGGGTCTGTGTGCACTTTAACTCTGTGCTCTGAATCTATAGATGGGTGTGTGGCTCCTTGTAAAGCAAAAAAAAAAAAAAGAATAAATAAAGTGCATGCCAACTTGTAATTGCTGGGTGTAAAATGTGGTCTTGCAGTAAGATGGAAAAGTAAACCATGGTAAGTAGTGCTGTTAAATTCCTTTATGGCAATTTAAGATGGATATTCTCAGCCCACAGTATCTCACATCAGCATCAGTGTGTACACATATTTACATCAGGGATCACATTAGCCATACACTGCAGCTCTCTCACATTATGTTCCTTTGTTTAATTAGTAATGGCGTTTAAAGTAGCGTGTTTAATTTCAGCCTAATTGAAAGATTTTTCAGAAGGCTTTGTAGCTCTCAGAGGAAGCTTTGAAATAATGGGATATTGAATCATAATTTCCCCCAACGGAGACGGCTTTTGAGCCATTACTTCACCTGCGTGTTAATTCCATCTCTGTCTCTTTCTCCCTCCGCCCACAGAGAGTAGAGAATGGGCTGTGTCCAATGTAAGGATAAAGAAGCAGCAAAACTCACTGATGACCGGGAAACCAGCCTCTCGCACAACTCGGGGTACCGCTATGGATCCGACCCTACGCCGCAGCACTACCCTAGCTTCGGGGTCACCACCATCCCCAACTACAACAACTTCCACAGCGCCGCCACACAGGGGGTGACCGTGTTCGGAGGAGTCCACACATCCTCGCAGTCTGGGACGCTCAGGTCCCGGGGGGGAACAGGTGAGGTTGAAGAAACAAGGCACCTGTTAAGTAGCCAACAGGGTTTGGCTTTTGTTTTTGAGAATAATAACGTATCTGAAGATACTTTTTATACTTTTTACTTTTTAGTGAGCTTTAGAGGTGTTGCTAGGCAGATTTTGTTACCACCGGGCAGAGCCAGGCTAGCAGTTTTCCTCGGTTTCCAGTCTTTATGCTAAGCTAAGCTAACAAACTGCAGGCTGTAGCTTCAGTGAGAGTGTAGTCTATCTTCTCATCTAACTCCTGGCAAGAAAGCAAGTAAGGGTATTTCCTAAAATGTCAAACTGTTCTTTCAAGACAAGGTGACATTGTAACTGTGAAATACCTTGCTGTCACTGAATGAGGGTCAAATTACAAACAGGGCAATTAAAATAGAAATAAAACGTCAGTCTAAGTTGTAAAGCTATAAACGTCTTTGAAGACCACTCACTCACTCACTCACTGGCTGGCTCTCATCCAATATTCAATAAAAGGCTGATGTCAGCTGAATATATGTTTGTCTAGTAAAGAGTCATCGCTTCAAATTTTCAACTTTCTGAGATGATCTTAAATTAACCCCATAAAAGATGGAATTGTCATCTTTATTTGTCTCGTTTAGTGTGTGATTCTTCTCTTGTGTGTGCGTGTGTGTGGACACTGTGGTGCTGTGATGAGTTTATGTTTCTGCAGAGGATGAATGTCCACTGGCTGCAAGTTAATGGAAAACAGAGTGACCTAAATTATCGCCGGTGCTGTGCGAGGCACATCTGACGACCAGAAAGATCAGATATTGTGCTGAATACTGCAAAAAAAAAATGTTTCTGGAGTGGCGAAAATGTGCTTCACAGCCTCTCACTTAAGATTTTAAAGATACATACGATGTGTGATGTATAAATTAACAGCATCTCTCGCTTTGATGTTGACTACTTTGGGCCTTTTTTTTTCTGAAGGTAGATCCCAGCGCAGATAAACACTCTGCATCTGTGGAGTCAGCACCACCGGCGTGTATGAATAAGAAATTACTCCAGGAGGGCCGCACAAAGCAACATTCATGTCTGAGATTGTGGGCTTAAGTTTAGATAAATAAATAAATAAATCAACACTCAGCCAGGGCAGAAGTAGAACAGAAACCCCATCTGACCCCTCTGTGAAGATTTCAACATGTCTGCCTAAGACACAGTGTGCAGATTTGGTCGTTGTAAAGCGCGTTTTTTATTCCAAGGTAACTGCATTGACGGGGGAACCGTGCATGGTCTTCTTGCAGCTTGGTAGCTCAGACTGTCCAGAGACGATTCAGATCAAATCAGAAAATGAAATCATTTTACAGTTTCAGGCTTATTAAGAGATACAGGGAGTCCAGCGCTGTTCCAAATCACATCAGATAAATTTGATTGGCCCATAATCTAGACCTTGGCAGCGTTAACTGTTCGCTCACCATTCCTAGAGAGGCTTTGTCTGATAAAGAGTAAAGTCAGTTTTCTTTTATTTGTATGCAAGTCATTTTACTTACTTGCATTTTAAACCAATATTACAATAATTTACAGTATTTATTTATTGGCCACATGAGGGCAGCTTGTGCTGACATTACAATGTTGATATAGCAAACATGTTAGCAAACACACATCTATTTACACATTCAGCAGGCATGGAGCAGTATTATCATTCATTTGGAGTCGTGCTTTTAGCCACCAATATTTACTCTTCCTTTAGCCCTCCACTGACTCCCGAGTCTATTTCTCTCTTTAGCTGCTAAATGCTCCACTATCGAACAGCTAGTTACTAACAGTGTCTAGATTTCTGTCTAAACCGAATCTTGTATATAAAAGTACATATATATAAAAACATTCATATGATCAATTGTGAGAATTTGAGTTTTCTAGAAAAAAAAAAAAAAAAGCAGCAGATGGGATGTAAAGAATAAATGAAGATGGCAGTAAATCTTGTTGCCGTTACATAACAAGCAACCCATGTGTTGGACAGATGAACCAACCCAACAATAACACCACAATGAAAATCCGAACATAACACTTCATCCATATAATACATCTCTCCTCTGCCAACCACCACATGTAACGTTTTGTTTTCCTGCAGGGGTGACTCTGTTTGTGGCTCTTTATGACTACGAAGCCAGGACCGAGGATGACCTCAGCTTCAGAAAGGGGGAGAGGTTCCAGATCCTCAACAGCACGTAAGTGTGAAAACATCTGCGTGACACCATTTTAAGGGTGGCGGTCGTGTTTTCCTCCTCTGTTTTTTCGTGAATGTGTGAAAGCTGCATTTGAAATGAAATGTTGTTGAAAACAGACTTGACCTGGCTTATGTAGGTTGTTCCATTTAAAGTCTGACACATTTCTCATGTTTGCACCATAAAAATAAAGTATGTCTTGTTAGAATTGTGATGTAGAAATAGTTGCAGGATGCTTCTGCTTTTATACAATACAAATGTAAATTTCCTGTTGTTTTCCTGTTGAGTTCCTGTGTTTATTTGTGCCTGTCTGCGTAACGTGTACATCTCGATCCGTCTCTCTGTTTGTTCCAACCTGCCTCCATCCTCCTCCATCGCTCTGTGTCCTCCTCTCCTCAGCGAGGGAGACTGGTGGGAGGCTCGTTCCCTCACTACAGGTGGAACTGGTTACATTCCCAGCAATTACGTAGCTCCGGTGGACTCGATCCAAGCTGAGGAGTGAGTAAAACTTCTTTTTTTTTTTTTTTTTTATATGGAGCACACACATCACTTACACACAAGTCTCCATCTCAGAGACACGGCAGCTTCACCAGCAGAGATCCTATCATGATATCATCTCACTGCCTTTTTGCTAAATGTGGCATAGTGTCACGTACAGACAGAATAAAGGTCAGAATATTGAAAAAAAAAAAAAGTTCGAGCAAAATATTATACTCCACAGCTTGATCCCCTTTTTCTTCCTTGCAGCTGGTATTTTGGTAAATTAGGTCGAAAGGATGCAGAGAGGCAACTGCTCTCCAACGGCAACGCCAGAGGCACTTTCCTCATCCGAGAGAGTGAAACAACCAAAGGTACTCTGATGCAGCTGCATCTATTATGCTGACGTGTTGAACGCTTTTAAACTTTAGGTAACAGACAGATGTGTGAATAGATAAAGATTTAGGAACGCTTCATTTTAATTTGTAAATTAGCAGTTTATTTATAGAAGAACTTATAATAAAAACATCCAACATCACAACTTAAAAATTCAGTCTAATATCATGTCATTAACTATGCAGTTGCTCCATATTCAATGCCCTAAATCTTTTGCACATTGTGCTATATATACACTCATTAAAAAAAAACTGACACACATCACATGTTCCATAATCCCTTATGAAAGCCAACATGGTGAAGTGTCATCAGATATTTTCCTCTATTCTACTTGAATCTGTCAGTTTTGTTTTTTTTTTTCTTATCACTGTGCTGTCTCTGTGCCAGGAGCCTACTCCCTGTCCATCCAGGACTGGGATGACATCAAGGGAGACCATGTCAAACACTATAAGATTCGCAAGCTGGACAGTGGCGGCTACTACATCACCACCAGGGCCCAGTTTGAAACGCTGCAGCAGCTAGTGCAGCACTACTCTGGTGAGGCTCTGCTACAGTTATTCTTGACATGACATCTACTGTGTTTCTGCTCCCTTCAAATTGAAGTCTTTATATGGATCAATGCGTCTTTACAATTACAAGACGGATACAATTTTAAATTCAAACTGCACGATCAATCCAGCCAGGGCTGCAGGGCTGTGCTGCCGCCTGATCGTGCCGTGCCACAAAGGCATGCCTCGTTTGACCGACCTGTCAGTCAAAACCAAAGACGTGTGGGAGATCCCGCGAGAGTCGCTGCAGCTCATCAAACGTCTCGGAAATGGCCAGTTTGGAGAAGTCTGGATGGGTGTGTATCTTTTTTTTTTTTTTTTTTTGGCATCCTATTTTGGCACAAATGAAAAATTGGACAGCTGTGAGCAGTGTTGCAGAACATACTGTGTGTGTTGGATCATTCAAAGCTAACACCCAGCTAATGTTACCCACAGGGAGTGTTTGCCTTCAGTGATTTCATTTAACAATTTAGAGTTTTTGCTGGATACGAGTCTGCATGATCTCAGGGTCCACTTTGACTGGATAAACATTTTTGAACTTCCAATGATTTCTGATTGGATTCAGGATTTGAATGGGCCTTAAGAGCAGTTAAAACTTGATTTAAAATTGATATGTTTAAATATTTTTTTGTGCTGATGGCTCTCAGAAACTCGGTTCCAACAAATGCTGATTTAGTTCAATGAAGTTCAGTAAAACTTAATTTGTCCCACATCCGGCAGCAAAATACTCCATGTGTGTCAGATTTGCTGAGATCTGAACATTACCACGAACATGGATTAAGCCAAATCCTAGAATAGTTTTAAACAATGTTTTCAACTGGAAACAATTTATTTTTTCCTCTAGCTCCAACATTAAGTCCTCAAAACTTGTCAAGCATCATTTTACTCAGCGTTAGAAGTAGTCTGAATGCAGAGATGTCAGTTTGTTTGTTTTTGTGTTGGATTGTGTAATATTTTGTTAGTTTATAGTTTTAAAAAATGTAGATAAACAGAAAATAATCTGTCTTCATTTATTTTTCTGTTACTAATGCTTTAATTTGTATAGATTTTAATCATAGTTCTGTATTTTTATGATGGGTACCCTGATGCTCAACAATATGCCTTACTAAATTTGATACTTCAGCTGCCATTGTTTGTTGCCATTCATCTGTTCGTCCCTTTATTTAAACTTTATTTAACAATCTCAAGGTAACTGATAACCTCACTATAGTTCAGTGACACTTTGTACATTACAGTACTGCGAAAATCTTACATTGTAAAAACAATTCTGCTGAAATCCCAATCACTAACCTCTGGAAAACTGAACTTGAACAACCTCTGTATTTTCTGTCAGGCACGTGGAACGGCACCACCAAGGTGGCAGTGAAGACTCTGAAGCCCGGCACCATGTCGCCTGAGTCCTTCCTGGAGGAGGCTCAGATCATGAAGAAGCTCCGACACGACAAACTGGTGCAGCTCTACGCTGTTGTGTCCGAAGAACCCATCTATATCGTCACTGAGTACATGAGCAAAGGTTGGAGCTGTTTTTCAAGTGACACTTGAAAAGACAGTATGAATATTACATACATGCACATGTGCGCACGCCCACACAGTCTGTACATAATTTATACATCTGCATGGACTGTACACTATGACAGTATGTGTCCTACTTCATAGCATGGTGCTCAGGCCCATGCCCACATTACTGTACTGTAGAAAACACTATTTATTACAGTCATACAAACGCTAAATGTGGTTTTACATAAGAGATTTTGCTCAAAAACACTGAGAGCTACAGTTACCACAGCGATAACTAACAAATAAAAATCTGAGCCAAATGAAACTCGTGTGGCAGGAATCCCAGAATTGATGTCACATTAACTACAACATGTAGCTTCAGTTTTTATCCAAATTTGAGTTGAGATCTAGAAGCTGAAGATGATATGAAACATCAGATCCTATCCTTTTTTTTATTCCTTTTTTATCTGTTTTCTTTCTTTTCTTTTCCTTTCCTTTTTTTTATTTTAGGGAGTTTGCTTGATTTCCTTAAGGACGGAGAAGGACGAGGCCTCAAGCTGCCAAATCTAGTGGACATGGCAGCTCAGGTACACTGCTGAAAATAATCAGAAATCTTCATTCTGTGGACTTACTACCGCTAAGCGCTAACTGAATTTTTCTTTCCAAGAGCATAATCCACTTTAATCTTCTCCAGCTGTTACCAGCGTGTTTACACTTTCATTAGGCAACTTCTTACTTAAACAGACCAAAATGGCCGCATTTTAAAAGTGTGATGTTAAGTAAGAGCACAAGGAAACTGTACGTATACATTGTAGTTTACCAGTCTGGCTGGTCAAATGGACAACAGATAAGTGATCAATCATTGGCAATCAATCGCTGCTGTTTGTATTTTACTCGGACGCTGTGATTCATCACTTCCTGTAGGTTGATTGTACCTGACACTGGAGTTCATTTTGTAAATCTGGCATATATATGGATTTTCGTTGAAGAGATGCTCCTCTCAGTTGCAGCCCCATGTTTTTCTCATGCTGATAAAATGACTGAAAGTCGAAATTAAAAAAATCTCGTTTAGCACATATTTAATCACCTTGAAACCGTTCAGTGATATTCACAGGGAAAAAATAACTTTATTTCCCAGGTGGCAGCAGGCATGGCGTATATTGAGAGGATGAACTACATCCACAGAGACCTGCGCTCTGCCAACATCCTAGTCGGAGACAGTCTGGTGTGTAAGATTGCTGACTTTGGTCTGGCCAGGCTCATCGAGGACAATGAATACACAGCAAGACAAGGTAGGCCTGATTGATTGGAGAAAATCCATCTCTAAGATTTTGTGTGAAATCCAGTTATTAGCGACGGCTTGTTAGTTTTGAATTATTGATTTTCTAAATCGTGATGCACAATTAAAATTGTTTTGGCTTGTTAAGACAAATGTATAAATAGGTTGCTAGGAAACATCTGAAGTGTGGGCCAATGGAAAAACAATCAACTATGTAAACAGGAAGTCACTGTAGCATCACAAGTTGTATCATTACCTCCAAAAATACGAATTTCAGACCAAACCACAGTATATATCAAACTCATAAATGTTGGTATTGGTTTATTTTATTTATATATGCATTTGTGAAGGAATATGTGTTTCAGGATTAGGAGTATACACAGACATAACACAGATATTTTTAGTTTAAAGTGGACTTGATCTTTACAACTGATATTATTAACACCGATGTCCCATGAATGTCCAAAACCCTGTTTACAAATCACTGAACAAAACTTTTCTTCTGTATCGAAGTAATCCAGCGATAGTTATCTGTAGATCTATGGGTACACTTCAAACAAGAACTGCTAATAGCTAATTTGGTGTGCTTGTAATGGTGCCACTTTGTAAACAAATATGGGCTGAAAATAAAACTAAAAAGCTGAAGTTTGTGCCTTCACTTTAACCCCTGGTTTCGACTGAGTGAGAAATCTGATTATGCTAATGCTAAACTAGTGTTAATATGACGTTTTAATTTAGTGTTTTGATGTAGTGATGTGTGTAGATCTCCACTTAGCAAACACTACATTAAGTTTGAACTTCGAAACAGCTGCAGTTTAAAAAGAAATACTTTTAATTCATTGGTCCCAGTCTGGAAATATATTTATTTTTATTACACCCCGTTGATGGAATAGAGATTAACTTGTGTCCGTATTTTATCTTTTGTCTGACTTAAATGTTTCTGTAGTTAGTCCCCAACCACAGCATCTTCTAAAAACCTCATCGTCAGAGGAAAAAGTTGGCTGGCTGGCAGATGGTTTATTCCATTTAGTCGTTTCCAAGACACATTTTACACACACACACACACACACACACACACACACACACACACACACACACACATATGCACACATGCTAATTTTCAAAGTACAGTAAATGAGCAGGAATATGTCCTGGTGACACCAGTGGAAAACAGGAGTACATGTGGTTACAGCATGGCACAAAGACTACAGAATATCACATTTACAAAAGGCCAATGTGAGGATTTAGGACAGAGCTCATGTTGTACATGAAAATCAATCTGTCACTGTGTATCTTGTTGGAAGGAAGTGGCTGTACCCTGAATCACTCAAACGTTGTTCTCCTGAGTCTGTGTTGGCAGACGTGAACTACACCAGGAGGACTTCCAGACTCCGTTAGTCACTCTGTCAACATGTTCAGTCACTCATTTGTTAGCATTTTAAATGTTTACTTATTCGACCTGGGCCAAATACAAACTGTGATGGAGAGAGTTAATGGAATTTTTCCCTTTTCTCCCTGGTGGGATGTTATCATGTCCTCATGTCTCTGCACTAATGAAATCACAGATGAAGGAAAAAATCCTCAGAGAGAAGATTGACCTACTTATTCCTCAGGTTTTAGAAAAGGTTGTTGCTTTATTTCTCTCTGTATTTCTGCTGAAATCACAACAGTGACATAACAAAAGCTTTAAAGCATCATTGCTGATTTTTCTTTCTTTGTTTTTTTTTTTTTTTAGGTGCAAAGTTTCCCATAAAGTGGACTGCTCCTGAGGCTGCGCTTTACGGGAAATTCACCATCAAGTCAGACGTGTGGTCATTTGGCATCCTGCTGACAGAGCTGGTGACCAAGGGCAGAGTGCCCTATCCAGGTGAGTGTTCAGCTCAGTGGATTATGCAATCACTTCTCAATTCCACTTGATTGCTCTTGTTTGATGTTTGATGTGTGTGTGTGTGTGTGTGAGTCTACTGAGAGCCATGACTCTATGCTAAAAAAAGAGCAGCATGTTGCATAATGTACAATACATTGTGCATTATGCAGAGACATGTTCCCAGCTCACTGTGTGAGCATGTGCAATGATTCAGTGTCCCTGTTTACCTGCCATACGCGTTATATTTCAAGCATTTAAACACCCAGCTTGAGTTGCGGAATAACGCAAGAGAAGAAGAAGCTCAATTTCTGGATTCTAAAATTATTAATGGCCCTACAAACCCACTTAGATGTTTCACTTGTGGCTAAATAAACATATAGCATAAGTGAAAACGAAACTAACTGTGTGTGAGGGTACAAGCAGATTTTTGAAAGAATCATTATACGAATAAGCTTGAGAGGCAAGAGCAGGACGTTTTTTAAGGAAGTCACAGCAGGAAAAGAAATGATAAAATGAAGGATCCTGGTATGGCGCATACTGTCGCACTGCCATGACCCACTGCGAATAGAACAGAGCCATTGTTAATGTGATTGGTAACACCTGTTCTTTGCCATATTGCAAAAGGAGACAAAAAGCAGATGTTTCGTCACGGCTGGCAGTTCAACTTAAACCGTAAAGCTGTGCTGTAACTGACAAAAGTCACCTCCTGTTACTGTTGCTCCCTCTGCTGTCATTCATTTAGATTAGCATTTCATGAGCCCCACTGTCCATCTGTGGGCTTCTTCCTCATGTGGGGGAAGTTAATATTGTCACTCCCCATCAGCTGCTGCGCAGAGCTTGGCGTATCCTTGTAGGCAGTGAAGCCAGACATTGTTCTCTTTGTATTTTCCTGTTGAGCTGTGTGTATTTTAAAGACCCATCTAGAGGCGGCATTGCAAATTAAATTGGGCTATACATGCTGTGGTAAGTGGCATTGGTTCAAATTGAATGAACAGATAAATATCAACTTTGTACATATTCTGTATTCACACTCACATTGGTCAGTCAGAAGGAAGCTTATACAACGTCTTCTTTATATGTGTGAGCTGATATGAAAACAGATTTATTTCAACTTCAATATTAATTTTGGTATCAGCCTTAAAAAAAATTCCGTGTTGGTCCATTTTATTATAGAGCATGCAAGTTTGTTGTTGAATTTTGGGAACAGTCTGCATGTGACCAAAATAATGTAAGCTTAAAGCTCCACTTACAAACTTTTTGGAGCTTTCAGTCGATCCAGTCATTAATCAAATAACATTGTTCATGTGAGCGCAGAAACATAATAAAAGAAGTGTAATAGAAATAGAAATGCAGGACAGTTAGAGTGAGACCATTATGTGAGGTTGTTATTGAAAAGTTTTCAGTGCTGTTTCCCTCCATTTCTCCATGTTCCTCTCTCCAGGCATGAACAACCGCGAGGTGCTGGAGCAGGTGGAGCGAGGCTACCGGATGCCATGCCCGCAGGACTGCCCCACGTCCCTGCACGAGCTGATGGTGCAGTGCTGGAAGAAAGACCCGGAGGAGAGGCCCACCTTTGAGTACCTGCAGGCCTTTTTGGAGGACTACTTCACTGCCACTGAGCCCCAGTACCAGCCAGGGGATAATCTCTGAGCACCGCCGCCCTCATCTCATGTCATTTCCCTGGCCTTCCACCAGAGGGAGCCAGACTCCACATATTCTCTCTCTCATCCTGTGGCTCCAACGATCTTAAAAGCTCATCGACTGACTTCTTGACTTCCAAGTATCTCACACACACACACACACACACACACACACACACGCACACACACAAGAGGACGGATGGCTGCTCTGTCAGCAAACTGACTATCAATTCAGTGGATGTTTTTGAGGTGGGAGGGGGCGTTTGAGATGATTGAAGAGTTAAAATGACTGCCATGGTGAGTTGTGTAACTTGTATGTAGTGTAAATATAAATTGCTTGTTTACTTATCTCTTTTTTTTTCTTTTTTTTTTTCATTTTATATTACTTTTGATATTTTGGAAATGTGTGGATTTTTTTTTAATCCGAGGTTAAAGTTATTTCAGATTTATGGCTCGTAGAGAAACGTGTGAGGCTCACAGTTGGTAACAAATCGTGACATAACAATTGTAGGTATGGTAATAGTTAGACATCGTGGACCGAGATATCTCAGAAATTTCTCTGGGAGTCCACCAACCTTTTTTACGAGGTTAATATGACGATACTGCTCTCCTCTTCTCAAGGAACTTAGATGTACTATAATACCTGTTCTTGCCTTTTCATGTTTAGTAATATTCTTATAATGTAAGGGAATGCCTTCATGCTTTCTACACACTAACTTAGTGCATCATGGACTCTTCCACCCAAACTTGTATGGCATCTGCACTGATGTTAAGTGCATTCATCGCATTTCAGCTTCAGCCAATGATTTATAGATCAACATTAAAGTAACTTTTAGTTCAGCTTAATCTTATGGGCTGACCCCCCCCCCCCCCCCCCCCAACCCTGGCCAATCATGTGTTTCGCTGACTGCTTATTATACTGATGATATTTTAAAATGTATGTTGCATAATTGTATGGCAGCAGGCTGTGTAAGAATTCTGCATTGTCTTTTCGCTTCAGCGGCCAAACAAACAAACAAACAAACAAACTGCCACTTACATGACGGGAATGAAGGATGCGTTGCGTACCTGTGTTTGTCCCTCCATAATGTGTTCCTGGAAATAACATGTTGTTTACGAGATCAAACATGTTTATTTTGTTGTATTGTTTTGCTCAGCATTTCGGCCAGTCTTACATGTATTTTTAAGGTTACATGATTATGTGATTTTTTTTTTTTTAATGCCAGAGAAATCTGCAACTCTGGATGACGTTTTATCATCCTCAACCATCGAACTTCTCTCCCTGGGTGAGAAGCATTCCAGGACAATACACCATTTCTGTGTGTATTTATGTTGCTTTTCAAGTGAGCGAAAACTAGATTTTGTGTCACTTTATTTACCCTAATTCAGTAGATATACAGAAAATGTTTTTGGTCTCTACATTATTTATTGTCCCTGTCTGTTACTTGTACACAACTGGTTTTGAAATAAACAATCTTGCCATCATCATCATCATCATCCTGTGACTTAAACAGTCAGGAACTGGTTTTTAAAGGACGGCTGACTTTCTGCAGAGAACACAGCAGCACAGGGTTCATTTTTTTTCCCCTCAGCACTGTGTAAATACACGCAGCTCAAATGAATGTGGTGTCTGTGAAAGTGAGTCTTTCTGGTTTTCTTTCAGTCTGAACTTGACACAAAGGTAACATGACTGAACTGAATATATGCAAATCACTTTGTTAGGTGCTCACCCTGCAGTTAGAGGCCTAGAGGCCAGTCAGCCTTGTGCTGCATACAACAGAGTACAGAAAACTCTTATTCAGTACTGGTTCAGTTTGATTTTTTTCATCAAGATTTGAGTTGTTTTTCTTTTTTTACAGTTTTGATTTTATCTTCCCCCTAAAACTGACATGATTAGGATTAGGTTTTTCTATTCATACAGCCTTCTTATACCCTTTTGCATGAGAATACACTGTTGCTTTAATATATTTTAGCCTCTTTTACTTGGTCCTCCTATAGCTAAAGAATATTACGTCCTGAATCATTATATACTCCAAGACTAAGACTGAGTTCAACTTTCCTGGCCAATCTGGCTGAGCAACACACACACTTCATTCTAGGCTTTGATTGGTTGCATCTCGAACAGGGAATAATTTGCATATAACAGGCTGTAACACACACAAGCCTCTGCACCCACAGGAGTGTAAAGAATCCAGCAGAGAACAGGTAGGTCATTGTTACTCTCTCTATTCAGACTGAGTCCTCTTGACCTGGTAGGCACAAAAGACATTTTATGTATGAATATGTTTCATGTGAAATGATTTCTTAAGGATAATTCTTGTATATTGTGCATGAAAAGATCTCTGTTCAACTGTATTTTAATCCTGTTTAAAATGTCCCAAAGATTTGTTGTTTCTTCTCATTTTTGGTTTCAACAGTAGAAGTAAATGTCTTCCTGCTTGTTTCTGTCACTTCCAGGACTGGAGGGTGTGCTGAAGTCACCTGGGTAAGATGAAAAAATCTGAAAAAGTACCAGACCTGAAAGTGTTTTCCACCACAGATGAGTCCAAAAATCCATTTCGACCTTTGAGCCCTGAAGTCACCGTAAACCAAACTTTTCACGCTCACCCACATCATGATCAATTCAGGCCAAGCTGTTGCGTAGATGCGCATCATTTCTGCCAAAGCCAGTACAGAGGTGGACGAGTGAACCAGTGGCTTCAAGGGAGTCATCCAGCTCATGCGGTGCAGCATGTAGAGCTGATGCACCACAGACAGCCAGAAGATAGAGGAGCCAGTTTTGCGAGGATAAATTTTCATCATCAACCTCCTGAAGTCTGTCACTCACATCCTGCAGAGACCAGGCACAGTGACATGAGAGGAGAGAGCAGCTGCTGGGACTGTGGACCAACAGAGCCTGCAAACAGAGATACGTCTGGGTAACAGAAGAAACTGTCTTCCTCTGATTCAAAGAATAGAGAGTCATTTATATTAGCTTGAAGGATAAATTTGGACAAAATAATTAATGGGTTTTTTTGGGGTTTTTTTAACACTCAGAGGGGAGTATGGATACAATTCTCAACATCAGAGCGATGAAGAAGAGCTTGAGTCTCCACTGCCGCTCAGATCTGACAACGACTGGCAACACTACAGTCCCTTTCTACCTCCTCACCACTACACCCACAACTATGGTAAGGACATTTTTTTTCGCTTGTGTGTAATTTAATAAGAGCTATACAAATATATCTTCACTTACTCACTTACTATATTTATTTTATTTTTAACAACACAAATTGCAGAGTAATGAAAAACATAATCCGCTGGGGGCCTGACTCAGTTTAGAAACTGTTTGCCACCAATCATATATCAGGTCTGAGCGACAAATCCATTTTTAAAAAGTGAATACAGAATAGGGCAGAAAACAGCAAGAACAAACATGGATTTTTAAATGTATGAGGAAATAGGTTATAGTATAAAAAGAGAGGTTTTCAGGATTTTGTATATTTAGTGGATAGTTGTTAATGTTAAGGTACAACTTTGTGTTGTGAATTTCACTGGTAACTGTCTTTTCTATCCGTTTGATATGAACAAGAAATGATGCCATTAGAAGCATTATTATATTCTCATGCTGAAACTTGTGTGAGCTTTATGTGGTTTTGCTCTTAAGTCAATGTCTTTTTAGACACTGCTTTTTATGAGGAAACCTACTCAGTTCTGCATAGACCGTCAACTTGACACATGCGCTGTCACAGACATGTTTGAACTGCATCTACAGGCCTCCATCATACTCTAGATGTCAGGTATTATCTATCATTCTATCTATCATTCAGAAGGGTGGTACAACCTCAGACCGGTCAACACATACCCACCTCAACCATGTCTATACGCTGCTCCCTGCCAGCACAGAAGACCATGGGATGACGCCCAAAGCTGGTAAAGAACAAAATAAAGAAACAAAAATGTCTTTCACAACTAAGTGCACACAAATCCCTGAAAGGTCACCATTAATGTATTTTAAAAAATGCACTGAGCCAGGCGCTGCAGCAGTCTCTACTTTGAATATTACACAGACCTATCACATGTCAGCACCATTCAGCTGAAGAGCCTTTGTTTGTTTTTCTTTTTCGCTGCTTCAGGCTCCAACATCATGCTCCCAGCTGCATGAATGACAGCGTGGCTCAGGGAAGCGTCTCGGTTAACGTGCCTCAGTTCTCCGTCCCCCCTGTGCACGGCGTGTCACGGGTCAGTGTGATCAACCCGAGCTCAGCGGGAGCAGAGGCGTCTGTCTCACATCCACACGAGAGAAGAAGAACCATCAGTCTGCCTGACGAGTGCCGTGAGTCGCTCTGTTCCCTCATTTAAACCGACTCTGCTCATGTTTTTTGGAGTGTGGCCTATTTTGGCAGCTCAGTTTATATTTGAACAAAATAATTATTGGGAGCACGACACAATTCTGTATGGGTTCTATTGTACTTTAATTTGCAGTAATTATCCTAATTTCAAAGTTACAACAGGAGGCATAAACTAGCCAGACATGCTTACGGGCTTGGTGAAATAAATCAAAATGAATTTTAAAGATAACACTCAGTTGTTATTACTGTTGGATTTACTTTAATTTCTGATGTGTTTTACTTGTCATGAAGACAGTTGTTTTCCCTTATTTCTATAGGACAGAATACAATAGCAGTAGATGATATGATATTTTGGGGTAAGATCACCAATGAGACATTCACCAGTAGAGTCAGTGTAATGTTTTAAATGGAGCAACCAGAAAAATAGAAACCAATTTACATCCAGTACAACAATTACATACAAAAAAGTACCATCTTGCTGAAATGTATCATTGTAAATTGTTGGTTATTTGTGAGACTGTAGTTTGTGCTGTTCTGCTGGGCTGGAAAAACTGTAAGATGATTCTTGTACAGTAAATCCACATGTGGTCAAAATATTATAAACAGTTTTTAATGAAGTGCAGTCCAGTACAACAACTAGACAAACACACATTCAAAACTTCAACAAAACTTGAATATTTTGACTAAACTTGACTTTGATTCACTTTAACTAAGTTAAATAAATATTTTAAATTAAAATAAATTTCTAATTTAAATATAATTAAAATAAATTATAGTATTTATTGCAGCATACAGACATTACAGTAGACAAGTGTTTCTTGTTTTTAGGGTCATTCAGTGTAATTTGCTACGAAACAATATATTCTGAGATTAATTCTTGATTCTATGATCTCTTCTCAGGAAACATCTTTATAACTTATTCTTCAGACGTGTGCTCAGAGATGGTCCCCTTTGTAGACTTCCTCACAAAGCAAGGTTTTCGACCAGCCGTAAGCTACTACCCTCTCAACAGTCCGATTTAAAAACAGAAGAAAAAAAAATCTTTTAAACATTTAAACAAATCGTCTTAAAGCCCTGACTTTAATTCCACAGATTGACATATTTGACAACCCTATTAGACGCATGGACATCAACAAGTGGAAGGACAGTTACCTGAAAGATGTAAGTGAACACTACCTGATTTTAGCAGCATTTATTAACATTTTTGTATTGCTTGTGTTATATTGTTATCTATAATCTTTGGTAATAGTTTTTACAGTAATATTTATAAGACTAAATCAGACTAAATGTGACTTTATACTTCAGTTGTTAAATTAATATTTCATATTCAGCCATCAAACCTGATTATCATCGCCATCAGTCCAAAGTATAAGGCGGACATCGAAGGATGTGTAGCAGACAGCCATGGTCTACACACTAAATATGTTCACTCCATGGTGAGACAGTGTTTGTTCTTCATTTAAATGAGACATCATTTTGTGAAGGAACTCACTACTTAAGTCTTGAGTCTAATTTTCCCAGATGCAGAGTGAATTCATCCAGCAAGGCAGCTTGAACTTCAGATTCATACCAGTTCTCTTCCTCAATGCATCTCAGGTCAGAGAGCGAAACACCTCTGCTTGATAACTGAAAGCATTGTTTACACATAACTTTATATTTTCCACTATCTGCCTTTTTCTTAAATGAAAATATAATATGCAACACATGAACGCTTTACAGAAACATGTCCCAAGCTGGCTTCAGAACACGCGTATTTACTGCTGGCCGCAGGACACTGAGGATTTGTTACTTCGCCTGCTGAGGGAGGAGAGGTATGTCCCTCCCCCTGTGCCTACGGAGCTCACCCTCATCATCAGGCCTGTGGCCCCGAGTTCTGCAGCTGCACTGTAAAACACACACCTGTATTTATGCATGTGTTTATGTGTTTGGTGCTTCAGTTTCAGACTGATTTCATGTGGAGTTATTGTGCAGTTTTTTTATTTTATAATCCTCAGAAGTGTTCCAGTACAAGTCAATAACAGCTCATCTTTTAAGTTGTGTTGTATCTAATGTACAGTTTTCAGATGTTTCAATAAAGTTTTTTTGTCTGTGTACCTGTATACGCCGTATTAAGATTTTTATATGCTAGGGTGTGGCTCTAGCTATAGGGATGGCAGTGTTAGTCAGTCCAGCACTTTGATCCAGACTGAAAGAGCTCAACAAATACTGGACTTGCCGTGAACCTTTGCACAGATACGACATGTCTCAACATCTCAGCATGTCATGAAATGTCTGGTACAGGCTGGTGTTCATGTTTACCTCAGGATGAAAAAATTTTGACTTTTGCTTAATGCTTTGACTTAACTTTGGTAATAATTAGCAAATGTTAGCAAGCTAACATGGTAAACTAAGATGGTTGACATGGTAAACATTAGGCTACACCTGCTTAGCATCAGCTTGTTAGCGTTGTCATTGTGACCTTGTGAGCATTTAGCTCAAAGCAGTTCAGTGCCTGACAGATTCGTATTACTGCAGACTTTTTGTCTTGCTTTTCATCCTTTCAAGGGAAATATGATTATACTTTTCCACATATATACTTGTTACCTCTTTACCTTGGAGTATATTCTATAAATACTCCAATACTAATGCAATTAAAGCTGCTGCACGTTGCAGAAAGGAGCACAGGATGGTGCTGTTTGAACACACATGCTGGATCTTTCTTTTAGGTTCACTGGTGAAGTTATTTTGGAAACATGTTTATTTTGCCACATGAAACCAAACATAAAGAGAAAGTAATGGGTAATGATTATTTTATGTTTTTCATGGTTGTAGATCATCAACATGTGCACCAGTAACAGTGGGAGGAAGCATCATATGTGCTGCTGGGCAGTGAACAGTTTCCATCTGTTTTGTTGTCCCTTCCTCATCTTAGGCACCTGCTTTGTTCCAGTTTAGTGGGCAGATTATAGTGCCCCACCAGTAGGGGTGCCCAATTCGGCCAACTGATCCGACTCACACCCCTCCAACCGCCAAAAAAGGCCTGCCAGAGCGGCTGGTGTGCAGAGCTCAAGCTAAGAATAACCCGGACTGTCCATCTCGGGGATAAAGTTACCTTGAAGCCTCCCTGTGCTCTGCTCTGACCTATACCCATGTGAGGCACCAATAACACAGGGTGGGATATTTTGTCTGCTCCCCCTCACCCTGCCCAGCTCTGTGCTTTGCTTGGCTCTTTCCTCCCCTGCGTTGCTTTCCTTTGCTCCACCATCCCCATACCCCCTTCTGCAATGCTGCCACACAGGCAGCTCCAAATTCCCCAGCACCTGTAAACTTAATATTTGGTTTTGCATTTATTTTTTTATTTTTTAATTTTGGAGAAGTTCAACCTGTGGATTACATGCATCAGGAAACAAGCCTGTGATCACCAAGTGGAAATGGAATAATTTACCAACAGGGAGTTTTTTATTTTGCTGTCAAGTGGATGCTGATCGGATTGGATTGCGGAAACTGTGATTTTCCAGTCAGGTCTGCATGAGGAGGCTTTGCCCCCAACTGAAAGGATTAGACCTGAAATAGTCTCCGTATCACCATGGCTGAAGGTAGGACTGCTTCACCTGCATTAACAACGCTTTTTATTTGCTACAGCAAAGAAAGCCTTAATAATATATGGTCTGTAATAAATAAATGGCAATGTTTTGATAGGCTGCGTCCTCTCAGGAAAATGTGTTGAGAGTTGGTTACTATAAATACAGGAGATCATGTAGCCAGTGTATTAGCAATGCTCTCTTGTGACAGACATGACTGCTGCTGGGGCTGACCTCTGGGTTTTCAACCATGGAAGAAGAACTCTTGTAAAACTACCAATACAGCAGTGTAAAAATACTCAATTACAAGTAAAAGTCCTGCATTAAAAATCCTATCAGTAGTATTAGTGAAATATACTTGAAGTATCAAAGGATAATGTCCTGGTTCTGCAGTAAAATGAACAGTTTACTGTAGCTGGTCGTGGTGGAGTTGGTTTTAACTACAGGGGAAACAGCTTTCAACTCATAGACACCTGTCTTATCTGTTTTCTTGTGAGGTGTCACAAGACAAATGGCTGGAAACCACTGGTTTAATCTTAACACAGTGTTGTATTTTAATCTGTAAAGTTAGTAATAACCATATCTGTGAGATATGAGCAATATGTCCCTCTTCAGTGTAGTGGAGTAGAAGTGTAAAGTAAAATAAGTAGTACAACTACCCGAAACTTTATTAAAAGTACAGTACAGTAAATGTACACAATTAGTTTCTAGATGCTTTTTTCCATTTAACCTGTGTTGTTTTATATAATCAGATTTTTTCAGGTCTTGAATAAACAATGTCCATGTAAAGCACAATAACAAGAAGTTTTCTGTCATAATTGGTGAAAGTTTATGGTGAAACACTGACACCACCTGTCCATCCTTAATAGTTCAGTTTAGTGAAAGGTCTGTTTTTTTGGGAGGGGTTTTTTAGCATTTATTATGAGGAAGTGAATCATGAGTCTGCCTTCCCCTGAGTTCATTCACAGGTGTCTCTAACACCCTGGCACCAGATTGATGTCAGAAAGTAGAGCAGTGCAGCTACTCTCACACTCTGTTGATTAATGATGGCGAGGCCGTCATTAAATGCCTCACAAGCATTTTCCACTGTACTAAACAGATGGGAATCATGTGCAGATATGTTTGTATAATCTGCATGATGAAATTGGAACAGCTGAGTTCTGCTTTTTCTGATCTGTAATATGACAACATGCTGAAATCTCAGATAAATGTATGTTGATTAGGAAACAACACTATTAGTTTCATCTAATTCACATAATTAGAAAATGAGCATACATGAGTAGGAACAGAATGTTATTAAGTGAGACACTTTTTCTTTACCATGTAAAATATGAGTCCTGTGATCAAACAAGAAATATCCTTCATCTGTCAGGGTTTAGATGCAGTGTGAAGATAATGAGGCTGGGATTGGGGCTATGGAGAATCATCATTTTTCCACACATGTCGTAGTAACGTTTGGTCAGGGATTTCACTAAGTCATGTAAAAGTAATAAGTTATCGTCTTGATGACACTCCAACTTCAAACTGTTTATTTTCAAAAGATGCTTTAAGGTGATGGAATCTTAATACAGTAGTATGGCAGCTATTTTAAATATACACACAAATAAACAAACAATTTTTAGAAGGGTCCCTTATTTTGAATATTACAGAATTGTGACCAAAATATGTGCTGAGGGAGGGGGGTCATATTACAGTTGAAAAATAAACTTGTGAGTACACTGTGGGGGAGACGCTTTTTAATTTCGACACGTGTTTGGCATTTCTATGCCATCATATACATTCATCCTGACATATTTGTAATAAGCTAATATTGGCCGATATATTGGCCCTGCTGCTTTATTGGTCTAGCTTGAGTATGGCTGAACATACTGATCATGTTTACAGTCTGAGTCTGACTTAAGATTTATTCAAAACAAGACATAAGAACTTATTCCACTGTCTCAGCATTAGCACCATTATCAAGAATATAAAAGAAAAACGATCTTAATGATGTCTCACAGTGACTTTGTTTTTTCTCACACACAGCAAGCACATCTGCCGTCTCCTCCTCCTCCTCCTCCTCAGCCGGTGGGTCCAATGAAGCAGCGGCGCCACAGACGAGCTCTCTCCGGTCTAAAGGTCTGGGGCTCCTCAGGAAGGTGAAAGTGTCCGTGGAGCTGTTGATCGCTCTGGGTGCTCTGCTGTCCTGGGTGGTTGTGGGAGTGGTGATGTTTGACTTTGTGGAGTACAAGGCAGTCCCCGGTAAGTCACAAAAACCTCCAAAATGTTTCTCTTTAATGCCAGTCGTCACATATGCAGAGTTATCAGTACATGTTTGTGTGTGTTTTCTCAGACATTCAGCAAATCATTACGGACCCTGTGCAAGCTGTGAACGATGCTGTTGATGAAGTATCCAGTCTGCTTAATAAATTCCAAGGTACATGAGAGAAACAGCCCACATGACACACCTTTATATATTTCAAAAGCAAGTATTGTAACACATAACTCTCCTATCTGGGCCTCCAGAGTGTGCACCTGATTTAAGTGACCCCATGTCGGCTGCCACATATGCAGCAGAGGAAATATCAGTAGCGAAAGATGGATTTGTTCGATACTTTTCAGATGAGGAAGGTATGACAGCTCACTCATTATCAAAAATCGTGCACCCTATTCAGCAAAAGATAAATGTGACGCACCCATTTCTCTGATAATCTCCTTCCAAATCACAGGAAACTTCTATCTCAGCTACATTGACCCCGTGGTCATTGGTAGGCAAGCTTTCCATTCAACTAATGACTTCGTGTGCGGAGTGGTGGGCTCCTTCAGGGACACACTGTGTGCTATTGTGGATACTGTGTTGGATACTATATCAGATATAAATAAAGGTTTGTATTCTGTATTTCAATACTTTCAAACTGAAGATTTTGTTTGCTTTCAAGTAAATAAACAGTGCTAATCACCTGAGTATGTCTTTACCTCAACCAGTCTCTTTGTTTTCCTCAGGAATAATTGACCTTAGCTACATTGACCCTGTGGTCATGGGCAGAGGTGTCTTCAGTGTTACCAATGACACTGTGAGTGGAATAGTGGGCTACATGCAGGATGTCCTCTGTGCCATCTTAGACAGTGTACTGGATATAATAAAAGGTACCTACTTTGTATTGTTTACATGTCATGTTATCATGTCTGCATTGTTTAGTCAGTATTTGTGGCTTACATGTATTGAAAATGATATTGGAAATCCATTACGATGTCAACATTATTACTAAATAACTGTCAACTTGTGTTTGTTATCAGTGAATAACAGTGTAAACTGGTTGCTAAAATACAAATTTAGATGGTAATTGTCAGCTAACTGCAACCCTAGATGCTTGTTTTGGTACTGAAAATGATTCATTACTGACCAAGAGCTTCTCCTTTTTGTCTTTAATTGTCTTTTCTAATGTAACTCACTGGAGCGCTGGCCTAAATGTGTGTTGTTCTTCTCAGGAACCACTGACATTAGCTTCATTGACCCTGTGGTCATTGGCAGGAATGTCTTCAGTGTTACTAATGACTTTGTGAGTGGAGTAGCAGGATATATCCAGGATGTGCTTTGTGCAATCTTAGATCTAATACTGGACACATTCAAAGGTACAGTATCAGCCATGTATTTTTTTACCTTTACTTACTCCGTGTGTCCCATTGCAATGTAAACTCTACTGTAGTCTGCTAACTGCAGTTTTCACAACCGTCACAACCCTAATTGTTTTTACTTGTCTGCTGATCAGGTATCCAGGATGCTGTGGGATTCAGTCCGATGTCGGTTCTGCAGAGAACAGCAGAAATCACCACAGAACAAATAAGCATGCTTGTGAGCTACGTCTCCACAATGCTGATCGGTGAACAAGGTCTGTTTTAACATATGATCATGTGTAATTTACATACCACCTACATTTCGTAGGGTGATAATAGATACAGTATATTGTAAAGAGCCGCTTTTACTGATCGTGCGGTGTGATGAATTTTCAGGCATCGTGCCAGAAGTGTCCATCGACCCCATGAAAGTTGTTGAAGATGCTGTGTTGGAGTTCACAGACAAGAAGGATTTATTCGTGGCGTACATGTCGAGCATGATTGTTGGTGATGAAGGTATGATTATTGCATTAGTTGTGTACAAAAATATTCTCCCTCAAATGTTTCAGTATTATGAATCAGAAAAGATGAAACAGTCACCCACTTTTAAAATATACTGACACCTCACGTGCATGTTTTCTTCTCTTGTTCTAGGTGAACCTGCTGCCACGCCAGTTGTAAACATAGTAACTGAAAAAGGTTTCACTTTGTATTACAGTTTTAATAAACCTAGAAGCATATTATTAGCATATTACTGTTAATTATTATTCTTATAAATACCTTGCCATGTCTTTGCTTCTCTTTTCTCTCTCTGTTTAGATGAAACTGTAGCCTCTCCGGCTGATATAAATCTGGTGAGAAGAAAAGGTAAGTACTGACGTTATTGTTCTACCTTTCTTTGCTGTCACATTAAAATTAATTCATTCAAGATCAAGCTAAATGTCTTTCTTTACCATATCTCTTTGAAATGTAGGTGAATTTCTGCCACCTTTCGAAAAAGGTAAGAAAATGTCATCATATGTTGCTGATACATTTAAAAATGTATTTTTGGACAGGTGCAACGTGTTTTGCTTGCAAATAGTGTGCGTAGACTTGTTGAGTGCGTTTGACCCTGTATTATAGTGTGGCCTTTCATGCATGTTCGCATTGATTATTGTTTTTCTAAACACTTTTTATGACCTGGTTTCAAGTCTGCTTTACAGTGTCATGTTCAGTGTAATACAACAACCCTTTAGTAATATGAAACTGTATGTACTCCCTTTGCACTTAATATATAATGGCATGAACAAACATACATTTTTATTGTAATGAACCGACCAAGTTGTTATGGATTTAGTGACTGCATCTCTCCCTCTGTTTGTCACACTGACCGTTTGTTGGATGTGACCATTTGTTTTGCCATTAAGTTGTTTTTGTTCCAGTCATCATGTTTTGCGTCCTTTGTTAAAAAATTATTTTAATATTTCATGACCACTTGTCTTTAATATGTGTCCCTTGGGGTTGCATTCCTCTGTTCCCTCTCGTTATTGAAGCATCTTCTGTACAACTGACCAACTGTCTGACATCTATTTCAACCGTTTACCATCTGTGATACACTGTATGTATGTACCTGGATTGTTTGTAATGGATGACGTGTGATCTTGTGTGGAATATTTAATTTTACCTTTGCATGGAATCATACAAGTCTACACCACGTCTCAAAAATTAGCAATGAGAATATTATTGACGATCGCCATTTTAAATGGTAATATTTTGGGAGGTGCTAACAAAGAATATATATTTGCAATATTCTATATTTTAATATTTAGTCATTTAAAAATCCCATGAAAAGATTCAAATGAACCATGAATTGATCCAAGCAACAAGGGGGACACGAGGACAAGCTTAAAGCATGCTTACTTCAGTAGAGTAAGTGAACATTGTCTTCTTTCTTCTTAACTGGTAGGCTAAATAAGCAGATGTTAATGCTCACATTGGAAAGCAAAACTTACAAATAGCTAATTCAAATATTTTGTGGGAGTTTTTCCTTATCTGATTCGAGGGTGTTGGGACAGGAGATGTTGGATACTATACAGATTGTAAAACCCCCTGAATCAAATTTGTCATTTATGATATTAGGTTAAGTAAATAAAAAAGATTTGACTTGATATGCAGCTAAAACAGTCAACAAATGTACAATCTGCTCCTGTTTGATGTTGGGTTAAAAACTACAGTGCTCAGCATTTTCAAGAAGTTATTTAGCCTTATGAAGAGAGCACCTAGAGATTACGACATCATTGGTTGTGGTCTTTTCATGGGATTTGTTGACTGCAAGAAAAAATATAACAGGTAATAACAGGTTTCTCCTTTAAGGTAATTTTAACAGTATCATAATCAAATAGGCAAAATGACCAACAGAAGAATGTGGTGTATACTATATGATGCTATGAATGGTCACTGTCATTGTTGCCATTTCATCCCATGAAATTCCTTCTGTACCTTTAACAAGACTGGATCAGGATTTCCATGTGAAATGCCAAAGTCAGATAAGCGACATGACAAGGGTTGATGATACAGTTACAGAGATAATGCAAGCTGCCAAAGATGAAGCTGCTCCTGCGGCAGAGTTGGGTGACTCAAAGACTGAGGAGGAGGAGGAGGCTGAAGTTGCCACTGAAGCTGCCAGTGAAACAGATGTGCAAGAGGCAGAGGAGGATGATGGTATTCACACAGTTTTTCTTTAACAGTCACATTCATTAGTCAGAAACGAGATCAATAACAGGCATACGCACTAAATTTGTTGCTATCACATCACTAGCGAAACATGTCAACCTTGAAGAAATTGAAAATGAACCACTACTGGAAGATGAGGGAGTCCTTGATGAAGACAGCAAAGAGGGGGAGAAAATAGAAGAGGTAGAAGAGGTAGAGACGGAGGAAGAGGAGGAAGAAGATGAGGAGGAGATTAAAATAGAGGAGGAAGCGCAGGAGAAGAAAGAGGAAGAGGAAGGTGTTGGTGTTGAAGATGAATGCGAACAAGGAGAACCGGACATTAAGAAAGAGGTGGTTGATGTACAAGAGGAGGAGGAGCTGGAGGAGTCAAAAACAAATGAAGAGGTGGTTGAAGATGAGGAGGAGGAGGAGGAGGCCAAAACAGATGATATGGTAGAAGATGAAGATGAGGAGGAGGAGGAGGCCAAAACAGATGATATGGGAGAAGATGAAGAGAAGGAGGAGGAGGCCGAGGCCAAAACTGAAGATTTGGTAGAAGGTGATGATGATGATATTGAGGAGGAGGAAGAGGAGGAGGAAGAGAAGGCCAAAACTGAAGATTTGGTAGAAGATGAGGAGCAGGAGGAGGAGGCCAAAACTATAGACTTGGTAGAAGATGAGGAGGAGGAGGAGGAGGAGGCGGAGGAGGAGGCCAAGGCCAAGACTGAAGATTTGGAAGACGATGAGGAGGAGGAAGAGGAGCCCGAGGCCAAACCTGAAGATCTGGAAGACGATGAGGAGCAGGAGGAGGAGGAGGCCAAAACTATAGACTTAGTAGAAGATGAGGAGGAGGAGGAGGAGGAGGTGGAGGAGGAGGCCAAGGCCAAGACTGAAGATTTGGAAGATGATGAGGAGGAGGAGGAGGAGCCCGAGGCCAAAACTGAAGATTTGGATGACGATGAGGAGCAGGAGGAGGAGGCGGCCAAAACTGAAGATTTTGTAGACGATGACGAAGAGGAAGAAAAGGTGGAGGGGGTGATAACTGAAGAGGTTTTGGCAGAAAAAGAGGAGGACATAAAAACTGAGGAGGTTTTGGCAGAAGAGGAGGAGGACATAAAAACTGAAGAGGTTTTGGCGGAAGAGGAGATAGAAGATAAAGATCTTCATGTGGATGAAGTAAGAGAGGAAGAAAACATTGAAATAACTGACACTGATGTCAAAGATTGGTTTGAAAAGACTGATCAGGATGATCTACAAATAGAGGACGATGAAGCTTTAGAGGAAGAAAGACACAACAAAACAGAAACTGAGATTGAGGTGGATGACAGAGATAAAGACAAGGAGCCTTTAGTCCAACAACTTGATCTTAAAATTCTGTCGGCTGAAAAGCCCAATAATGTCAGTGTTGTGCCTGAGTCTGATGATGCTGAAGAAGAAGAAATGACCAATGACCAAGACGAATACTCTGACATCGTCAATGATCATGATGAAAACAACAACAACAGTGAGAACAGGAAAACTGAACCTATACGAAAGAGGAAAGTTCACATTCCCTTTGAGAGGCTCAGAAGAGTCGGATCCAGAGCTGCTCACAAAGAGGAAGTGCACCAGCACAAACTTGACAAAGGTACAAAACTCTTACCATTATCATCATGTTTCATCATTTTCTTCATTATCAGGTAATGAAAATGTTTCTGAATGGTGTGTTGATAATGATAAATGTGTGGAATGACATATTGAATGTTTTTTTCACCAATTGTTTGTGACATGACTAAAGGTAGGTATTAGAGCCTAACAGATATTTGTTCAGTGATTGACATAATCTGTGTCATTTTCATTTTCAAATTAACATTATGCTTATGAAATTATTTTGTGACTGTGTTAATAATCAAGCAAGGTTTCAAACCAACAGAATTATTTTCTTCACAGAAGGTAATGTTATTCATCAATGGCTAGTCGTTTCAACATTTTACAAAATAATGTTGTTGATACTTAGTTTAACATCAGTGTGTCCAGTACCAACAGGTCCAGGATTTGTTTAGTCTAGCTTAGCACAAACTGGAAACATGGGGTAATTACCTAAAATAGGCCTAGCTAAATTTGAGGTACAACAAACACTTCGCAGCTCAAAAGCACTGTCCTCAAATGAAGTAAATAAAACTCAGATAACATCTGTGGCTAACAGGATAGAACTGAAGAGGACATTTTGGAGTTGTTGGAAGGCTTATATTTTTATACTTTTGATTGAGTGAGGTTAACTGTCTTGCTTTTTTTTTAGATAAACTATGCAAAACCCATTATGAAGGCAACAATTTTTTTCATTTGGAGTCATGGCCTGTGATCTGACTGTTAACGTTAGTTAATGTTAGATGTAACATTAGTTAGCAAACAACATTAGCTAGCAAACATATGTTTGCAAAGTGTGTCTGTACTGTTTCCTCAAAACTCTCTCGTAACTCTGATTCTTTGTTGTTTTCCTCTACATCTCCTCTACATCTTATTCTATCTATGTATGAGAATTTGAGTTACAGCCCAAGTGCAATTTTTTTGCTTTAAATTTGCTAGCAAATTTCTTCTAGATTAAACTGGTGTTAATTATCTCATCTGACAACAGGAATGACAAGTATTTCCCAAAATGTTGGAGAGTTTCTTTGAGACACTAACTTTAAACAGTTATAATTGAAAAGCAAATGGACATGGCATGGTCAAGTTTCATTTAAATCAGATACTCGTTTTGAATTAGGTGTGAATAGCTGTGTTGGAAGAGGATCTTATGACTAATACATTACAGCACCCATGAATTACAGCTCAGCTTCAACAGTTTCTTTTTGATGACTCAGTAAAGACACATCTATTTCCCATGGTGCTAATTGTGTACTTAACTGCTTCTCCTTTAGATCAGTCATTGCCATTGGCTGTGAGCTATAATTAGTGCAGAGAGCCACTAGATGGAGCTAATAGGCTGAGAAAAACACTGAACAGTTTTTTAGATGAAGAGATTATTCTATATACTGATGTACTGTCCTATCTGCCCCCCACAGTGAATTATGTATTCGTGAAAACAGTTACTGAACTAAACTAAAATCAAGTCTGATTGTTGTAACAATATGACATCTAGCTTGTGGTGTGATTTTGATCATAGTGTATTTTAGTGCTGTAGTGCTTCTAGTGCTTGTGCAAGCATGATTTGTCATGATGACGATATTACAAGTCTGATTACTGGTCAGAATGCCACTGTTATAGTCTGTATTGTTTACATACTGCTGTATGATACACTTAGTTCTCAAAGAGGCAAAGGAAAGACATGCAATAAAAGAAGTTAAGGAAGCCATTATTAAAGGTAATCTTGAAACTTTGCACCCTCTACACTTTGCTTATTTTCAAATGAATTGTATATCTCTTCATGTGCTTATTAAATGTAGTGATTTGGTATAATTCAGCAAAAACAAGAATGTGCTCAATGCACAAGGGGACCTGATGGTTTTGCTTATGAAGATATATCGCTGCTTACAGAACTCAAAGCCAAAGAAACTGAGAAGGACAAGAAAAAAGAGAAAGAAGCCAAATTTGAGGAAACCATAGAGATAAAACTAAAAGAAGAAAAGCCAAAGGCAGAGACCAAACCTGAGGCAAAACCCCTTGAGAAGGAGCCAGAGAGGCCCAAAGGTAATCACTAATGAAATTATATATCAGTGTGTGTAAAAGGGTGTTTTACCTTTTTTAGTGTAAACTATGAAATATGCAACCGAATGCTGTTTCGCTGTACTGTATATGCAGTCCATATTGCTAATACTGGTGGCCGTGAAAAACGAAACACTACACAAATGTGCTTCACATTCTGTTTGTTAAAGACATTTTACAATTCAAGAAAACTGACACTTTCATGATTGCTTTCAGGAGAAGAGGCAAGGAAAAAGCCTCCCAAAGAGGCGAAAGAAGTCAAGAAACCTTCCAAAGAGGAGAAAGAAGTCAAGAAATCACCTAAAGAACACAAAGAGGTCACAAAACCACCCAAAGAAGAGAGGGAAGTTAAGAGACCTCCAAAAGAAAAGAAAGAAGTCAAGAAACCTTTCAAAGAAGAGAGGGAAGTCAAGAAACCTTCCAAAGCAGCGGAAGAAGTCAAGAAACCACCTAAAGAAGACATAGAAGTCAAGAAACCATCTAAAGAAGAGACAGAAGTCAAGAAACCACCTAAAGAAGTAAAAGAAGTAAAGAAACCACCTAAAGAGGAGAAAGAAGTTAGGAAACAGGTTAAAGAAGAGAAAGAAGTCAAGAAACCACATAAAGAAGAGAAAGCGCCCACAAAACCTCCCAAAGAGGAGAAAGAAGTCAAGAAACCTCCCAAAGAAAAGACAGAAGTCAAGAAACCTTCAAAAGAGGAGGAAGATGTCAAGAAACCACATAAAGAAGAGAAAGAGCCCACAAAACCTCCAAAAGAAAAGAAAGAAGTCATGAAAGTGGAGGAAGATGTCAAGAAACCACCTAAAGGACTGAAAGAAGTGAAGAAACCTTCCAAAGAAAAGAAAGAATTCAAGAAACCATCTAAAGAGGAGAAAGAGGTCAAGAAACCTCATAAAGAAGAGAAGGAAGTTAAGAAACAACCCAAAGAAGAGAAAGAAGTAAAGAAACCATCTAGAGAGGAGAAAGAAGTCAAGAAACCATCTAAAGAGGAGACAGAAGCCAAGAAACCACCTAAAGAAGACAAAGAAGTTAAGAAACCACCCAAAGAGGAGAAAGAGGTCAAGAAACCAATTGAGGAGGATAAAGAAGTCAAGAAACCACATAAAGAAGAGAAAGAAGTCAAGAAACCACCCAAAGAAGAGAAAGAAATCAAGAAACCAATTGAGGAGGATAAAGAAGTCAAGAAACCATCTAAAGAGGAGACAGAGGCCAAGAAACCACCTAAAGAAGACAAAGAAGTTAAGAAACCACCCAAAGAGAAGAAAGAGGTCAAGAAACCAATTGAGGAGGATAAAGAAGTCAAGAAACCACATAAAGAAGAGAAAGAAGTCAAGAAACCATCTAAAGAGGAGACAGAGGCCAGGAAACCACCTAAAGAAGACAAAGAAGTTAAGAAACCACCCAAAGAGGAGAAAGAAGTCAAGAAACCACCTAAAGAAGAGAAAGAAGTCAAGAAACCACATAAAGAAGAGAAAGAAATCAAGAAACCATCTAAAGAGGAGAAAGAGGTCAAGAAACCACCCAAAGAAGAGAAAGAAATCAAGAAACCAATTAAAGTGGATAAAGAGGTCAAGAAACCACCCAAAGAAGAGAAAGAAATCAAGAAACCATCTAAAGAGGAGAAAGAAGTCAAGAAACCACCTAAAGAAGAGAGGAAAGTCGAGAAACCACCTAAAGAAGAGAAAGAAGTCAAGAAACCACTTAAAGAAGAGAAGGAAGTCAAGAAACCACCTAAAGAAGTGACAGAAGTCAAGAAACCATCTAAAGAGGAGAAAGAGGTCAAGAAACCATCTAAAGAAGAAAAAGAAGTCAAGATACCACCCAAAGAAGTGACAGAAGTCAAGAAACCATCTAAAGAGGAGAAAGAAGTAAAGAAACCATCTAAAGATGATAAAGAAGTCAAGAAACCATCTAAAGAGGAAAAAGAGGTGACAAAGCCTCCCAAAGAAGAAAAAGAAGTCAAGAAACCTCCCAAAGAGGAGAAAGAATTCAAGAAACCACTTAAAGAAGAGAAAGAGGTGACAAAGCCTCACAAAGAAGAAAAAGAAGTCAAGAAACCCCACAAGGAGGAGAAAGAAGTCAAGAAACCACTTCAAGAAGAGAAAGAGGTGACAAAGCCTCACAAAGAAGAAAAAGAAGTCAAGAAACCCCACAAGGAGGAGAAAGAGGTCAAGAAACCACTTAAAGAAGAGAGAGAGGTGACAAAGCCTCACAAAGATGAAAAAGAAGTCAAGAAACCCCACAAGGAGGAGAAAGAAGTCAAGAAACCACTTAAAGAAGAGAAAGAGGTGACAAAGCCTCACAAAGAAGAAAAAGAGGTGACAAAGCCTCCCAAAGAAGAAAAAGAAGTCAAGAAACCTCCCAAAGAGGAGAAAGAATTCAAGAAACCACTTAAAGAAGAGAAAGAGGTGACAAAGCCTCACAAAGAAGAAAAAGAAGTCAAGAAACCCCACAAGGAGGAGAAAGAGGTCAAGAAACCACTTAAAGAAGAGAGAGAGGTGACAAAGCCTCACAAAGATGAAAAAGAAGTCAAGAAACCCCACAAGGAGGAGAAAGAAGTCAAGAAACCACTTCAAGAAGAGAAAGAGGTGACAAAGCCTCACAAAGAAGAAAAACAAGTCAAGAAACCTTCCAAAGAAGAGAAGGAAGAAGTCAAGAAACCACTCAAAGAAGATGAAGAAAAGACACATCCAAAAGTAGAGGAAAAAACACCCAAAGAAATGGTACACTCAAAACCATCTCAGAAAGAGAGAGATCCAAAACACCCTCAAGAGGAGATAGTAGAGAAAGAGGCTAAACCTAAAGAACTGGAGTCAATAAAGATGCCTTCTAAGGAAAAGACAGAAGTGAAGAAACCCTCTAAGGAGGAAAAGGAAGAGGTGAAGCCATTTAAGGAGGAGAAAGAAATTAAGAAACCCAAAAAGGAGAAAGACGGAAAAGAGGTTAGGAAGCCCTCTAAAGAGAAGAAAGAAGTAAAGCCTTCCAAGGAAGATAAAAAAGAGGCAATAACTTCAGCGGAAGCTATAGAAGTGGAGAAACCTTCTAAAGTAGAGACAGATGTTAAGAAACTCTCTAAAGAAAAGACAGAAATGAAGAAGTCTCCTCATGAAGAGAAAAAGCCTCCCAAAGAAGGCAAAGAAGTATCAAAGCCTGCAAAAGAAGAACCAGAAAAGATCTCCAAAGAGAAGAAAAAACCAGCTAAACCTTCTGAAGAGGTGAAAGAGGAGGAGAAGCAAGAGAGGCGTCCCAAAGAAAAGGCAGTACCAAAGAAGCCCTCTAAAGAAAAACAAGAACCAGAGAAACCTTCTAAAGAGGAAAAAGAACCCACAAAACTGTCTATAAAGGTAGAAAAAGAACCAAAGAAACCTACCAAAGAGGAGGCAGAGCAAAAGAAGCCCCTGAAGAAACAGGAACAGGAGAAGCCTCCCAAAGAAAAGAAAGAAGTCAAGAAGATTTCTAAAGAAGAAAAGGAACCAAAGAAGATCTCTAAGGAAGAAACAGAACCAAAAAAGCCTTCTAAAGAAGAGAAAGAAATCAAGAAGAGTCCTAAAGAAGACAAAGAACTTATCAAGAAGAGAGACACACAGACAGGTATATACTGTACAGGCAATACAGTGTTTTTAGGAAATACACAACATAAAGGTCCACTGACAACTCCTTCTTAATACATTAACAAGACAAAGAGTCTACAGCCATGGCAGTGACTCTGTGAGGCCACACAGTGGTACTAGAGGAAACATCAGTAAGTCAGTGGGATTCATTGCCTAGGAACCGTGAATCTCTTTATACAATTTCGTACAAGCCATCCAATAGTTTTGACGTTGCCATTCGTAAAGCCATACCTCAATCATGGCTAAAGCTATACATGTACAGTTTGATATGTTGATAATACAGATATGCTTCATTTGCTCAGTAAAGGACTTTCTTCATTATAATTTATGTGAAACCTATAAATCAACTTTGCTTTTTTATTTCAGATGTTAGACCAAAAAGTGCTGCAAGGAGAATTAGAGTTGTCAAGAAAGAAGTTGCATCTGTCCTGAAGAAGGAACATCTTAATGCAACAAAAGCAGGTGAGATTAAAAAATATAGAGGAGCTTTGATCATTTGTTCAAACAGCTTTAAAGGACTTTTGGGATGAGCAAACACAAGCATGCGACTGTTGTCCTGTTTCCTACAATAAGTGTTGGTTTCAGATGGGAATATTTTCTTACTTTAAGCAAGTAGTGTCTTTGTTCTACTGATGGAGGAATGCATCTACAAACAACCTATTTTTTCATTTGGGTATGACTCATCTTTTTTAATGCCAATAGCACATATAATAGAAATGGAAGCTTTCGGTCAAGATTATGAAGTTAAGGTAAATTCTATGACATAATTCAATATTCTAGTATTGATTCAAGGTCAAATTCTGGGAATAAACTGAACTCAACAACATCCTAACTCTGCATAATACTGTGACTGTGACATTATCTTCATGCTCTTCATTTCAGTTGAAGAACCCAAGAAGACTGTAAAGATGCTGAAAGCTTCTAAAAAGCAGATTGTTCCTATACTGAAAAAGGAACATGTGAATGTTACAAAAACAGGTAAGTAACAGGTCACTTAGTGTGCAACCCATACTGTGTATTAACTTAAAGCTACAGCATGTAGGATCATAAATAACAATCAATTCCAGATTCAAATACTCATTATAATGTGTTCACCACCACCTGGTTTACTGAATGTGTTGTTTGAAAGGGCCTGGCATGTTTTTTTGCCCGAGAATAAACAATGTAATTAAGAGGCTGAAAACATACAATTTGATACTTTTTTTATCAGGCTGTAAAAACCTAACAGTGAATTTACTACCATTACATGTTGCTAATACCTTCTGTGATGCAGTGTTACAATTACAGTAGATGCATGTGTGAGGTGAAGATGATGTAATGGATTATACTTTTAATTTTCCCCAATTATAGAGGCTCCAGAAGTTCCCAAGGTGAAAGCCAAACCAGAACCTGCAAAGAAAGGTAGACCTATAAGCATAATTTTCACCTTTGAAAATTCTGTAAATTCTCTTTAGACACTCCATATCTAATCTCCCATTGGCCAAGGGGAAATTATGAATTATATTGAAATATTCTAGTTGAATATTATGTATAATTTTTAATTTTTCAGATTTTTTATGTGCGGAACACAAAAAGTGATAAACGCTATAAAGTGTCACAAAATGAGTAGTGACCCACTGTATATTCATGCCTTAAACCTAAAGGTTTTTTGATGTCATAATTTGTCATCAGTGGCAGCTCCCAAGGAGCCCAAGAAGGAACCAAAGCAAAAAATCAAACCTGCTAAACCAGGTAATGCAAAGACTCACTGATGCTGAAGTCTAACTTTCTAATTTGGTTAAATAGTATATGTTCCTCTCTCACGCAGAGAGGAAAATTAAGAAAGACATCCCAACTGAAACACTGGGGAACCTTACATCAGCATCTCATACCAAAATCCAATATCATTCTCATATTAAAATATTAAGTAGCCAATAGTAATGTGTCAAGGTATTACTAACAACTGCTAACAACTGCTGTGATTGTAACCATAAAAACATAATGTGTTTTCACTTTACTGTAATCCACAGATATTGATGCAGTGAAGGAAAAGGAAAAACCAACCCCTTCCAAGAAAGGTAGGATTTATTTTTAAAAAAAAGAAAAAAAAAGGCCTTTATTAATATTCTAAATTGTAAATTGATGATTACAGTATAACATGAAAATCAGATATTCTGCTGTAGAAGATGAAGTTTCTGAACCAAAGCACAAACCTTTTGCATTTGACATCATATTTTTGTTGTGTGACTTATATTATATTTTTGTACTGGTCACATAATTTCAAATTTATACCATAGACTTAGTAATGTACATTAGCCTATTTAACTGAAGTTCCATAATCATGACAAACTGTGTTCGTGTTCCTCACTGTTTTGTTTTTGTCAAACTCATCAAATAGAAAGTTAAACGAGCTCCTTCAGAGAAGGGTAAATTTATTGTATGCAATATGCTATATTTAAACACTCACAGTATATATGTTTCTGTTTGACAAAGAGAAAGCTTCTCTCATGAAGAAAAGTATAGACTTTATTATAATCTGATCATTGTCTTTTATGCATGAAACACAGAGCAGCAATGTGGCACATTGTTTACATAATACAGATAATTAATTAAAAAGCGGTGTCACCAGGTTAATGTAAAGTCACTGAAGGTAACTGATCCAAATGCAAAGCAAGCACTAACTTTGTGTTTTCTGACACAGAAGTTCCAAAGGAAAAGGTCAAAGCAGCTGCTGTCAAGAAAGGTAACACTCACATTATTAGTTTGCAAACTACAACGACTTGGTGATATTCTGGTCATCAAATAACACAATGATTAATGGCCATAGTGGGAATAAAAATTGCTCATTGTCACATTGTGCTTTGGATCCACAGAGGTTGCTGCTCCAAAAGAAAAGGCCAAACCAGTCACCTTGAAAAAAGGTAAGACTGGTGTCTGTCGTAATATACATCAAAATATCAATCTAACTACATGAACTGCAATTACATATTCTATGTGTATTTCATTATTATTATTATTATTATTATTATTATTATTATTATTATTATTATTATTAATGTGTATTTTGTATTGACAGAACAACAAGGGACTCCCAGAAATGCCTCTTTGGTAAAAGAGAGAGTCAAAATAGTGCCTATGAAGAAAGGTGATCTTCTTTCATTTCATGTGTTTTATTGCTTTCAGATTCAGATTCTCTGCTGTAGTGAGGTGACTCACAGATCCTAAGAATTTAACTGTTTTTTTGTTCTTGTTTTGTTTTCAGTAGTCAAGGTGTCCAAAGAGAAAGTCAAAGAAGTCTCTGCAAAGACAGGTGCAGCACATTATATATCTCAGATGAAAATATACATGACATCATCGAGGTGTTTTAAATGGTTTTGCATATAGAACATTATATTATATGTTTTATTTTGCAGCTGAAGTTTCAAAACAGAAGCACAAGCCAGTTCTAACAAAGAGAGGTATGTACGTATGGCATGTATATAATAGCTCAATAGTTTCAGTGTCATCTTGGTCTTTTTTTTCTGAAATGACAATCCTAAAATCACTTGAATAGAACCTGCTCCTCTCAAGACAAAACCAGCCCCAGTAGTCAAAGGTAAGATGACACTTATCAGCTTTTACATTCATGATTAAATAATCAAGCAACTCACTTAATCTCTTATTTCATACAGAGACAGAAGCACCTCACAAAAATGCATCTCTTACAAAGGAGAAGGTGAAGGTGGTGCCACTGAAGAAAGGTGCTTTTTTTGTTTACACGGCCTTTACTAAAAGTCATTTATATATGCACACAAATATTTTTTCATTGATTCAGCTGTATCTTTTTCACAAATTCAAACCATTAAGTTGGATTATTTTTTCTGTCTTAGTGCCTGTAACTCCAAAAGAGAAAGTCAAACCAGCACCAACACAAAAAGGTAGTTACAGGGATTGAACATTTTACAGGTCAAATATCTTAGAGGACATAACATAGACATTAATAATCAAACAGTTTTCTGTATGTGTATTTATTATATGTCTAATTGCATGTATTTTTATGTATCTTTTTTTGCCATCACCTCTTTACAGTAGGTCAGTTTGCAGATATTTGATTACGCAGCGTAGGAATAACATACATTAATTGTAACTGTAATAACATGCATGTGCTGATATTTTTGTTGTTGTTATTATTCTTTGCTTTAGAAGCTGAAGTTCTCAAGGAGAAGAAGGCCGAGCCAGTGGCGCCCAAAAAAGGTTTGATTTCTTACACAATTCTTTGTTTCTCTTTCATTTTTAACCGCATTATGCAAAGTACAGTAGTTTCTTGATGGGTTCTCACCTACATACATTAGAGTTAATAGGGCTTTTTTATTATTGTAGCACCAGTTACCAAGGAAAAACCAACACCTGCTGAAAAGAAGAAAGGTATCCAGCAGAATTAGTTTGTAGTGCTTTTCTGTGTTTTTTTACAGAGTACAGCTGCTGTAAAAGTTGCCTTATACAGCACTGTAGCTGTCCAAGTCAATCGTGTGTGATTTAATGTCAGAAGATTCTACTGACAGACATCAATCAGTACATGTAAATATAATTTCAAAGACATGTTCCATTGGTGTTGAAAAACCCACTGGACAAAATGAAAGAAAATGTCATTACCTTAAAAAGACAAAGGAAAAATATCTGGAGCCCAATATCTTGATATTTTGATCTGCATGTTATTTCCAAACAGCAGAGGTGAAATGCTTTCTCTAAGATTTAAGCTGCATGGCATCAGTGTGAAAAGCTTTCTAGGCTTGTAGCTTTTCACACTGAGTTATTGTGACATATCTGTTTCTTCTTATGTAGAAGCTGTTGTGAAAGAAAAGACAAAAACCTCAAAGAAAGGTGCTGGTTAGTCTCTAATAGTACATAGAATATACTTGTAGGTACATTTTCCATTTTGCAGATTAAAAAGCTGTAATATCCAAGCAAGGTATCTGCACAAGTTTCTCATCTAAATAATACATCTCAATCACATCTTTAAGAAGTGTGACTTCAGTAACTTCAGTGGGTAGTTCAGTTACTTGTTACATCTATTGCTTTTTACAAAGTCATCATGCCAATTATTTTTCTTTCTGTCACTTTAGAACCTGAGGCCAAGCCAGTTCTTGCCAAAAAAGGTAATGCAGATACAATCCCCCATTGTTTGGCAAAAATCTAATCATGCTTAAAACATAACGGCTGAAATATCTTTCATCTTGTCTCATATAGAAACAGAAGTTACAAAGGAGAAGCCTAAAGCAGTTCATGAAAAGAAAGGTACATCTCATACCTATAACAAAATAGTCAAAGAAAACTTTTGTGCTTCCTTCAGAATTGTTGATGCTGTTGTTGTTGTTGCATTTGAATTAGCTCCTTCTAAAGCAGAGGCTGATGCAAGAAAAGAAAAAGTCAAAACTCTGCTAAAGACAAAAGGTAGCTCACCACTGCCATCTGCCTGCAGATGATTTCCTGTGGTTGTGCCTTACAAACATTATTATCATCTAATTACATATAATTAGATAATTACATATAAGCAGATGATAACTATGTATTACAGTAGTATTACTAAAGCAACCATAATCAAACTAGATAACAAAGCTACTCACTGAGAATCTTCAAATGCTATTATATTCTTATTTACTCAGAGCCCAAAGCACCAGAGGAGAAAGTCAAACCAGCAGTTAAAAAAGGTACAAAAATACAACATTTACTTTTCACATTGTCATGTTTGGTGACACATATATGTAGTTATTTGTGTCAATGGGGCATTGGTCTTTAATGTGTTATAATTACGCACCAAGCATCATTGTAACTCACTATAAAGATATAATATGTATTTTCTCCCTGATGGTGCAGCCATGTTGAAGGAAAAGATCAAACCAGTGCGTGTGAAGAAAGGTACATTAGTGGTGCTTCAGTGGTAATCCATAGAACCATTGTGGGATTGTGATTACAATGATCTAGTCATGAAATCTAGGTCACTGTATTTTGTGAAAGCTCTGATTGGATTGCTCAGCAGGGAACAAGCATTTTGCCTATGAGATCAACAATAAATGATTGTAGAGAAATGTTGCACAGTAACAGGAGAGTGATTTCTCTGCAGCAGCTCCATAGGCAAACAGCTGTTTCTATACAGTGGTCCTTATAGGAATACTGTATGTTTGTTTAGACAGGTGTAGTTGGTAGATCTGCAAAGCGCTGCACAGATTTTTTTCAGGCTTTTATAACTGGCCTTTTATCTTCTAAAGCTTAGACACTAAAGAGCTGAGACTCTGAGGTAAAGCCCCACCAAACATTAACAATGTGCTGTAAATGTTGAGATGTGTGGAACATATCTGCACGCTTTACTCCAGACTACACCCACAATAAAAAGATATAGAGAAAATGACAGGGGCGTTGCACAGAACCAGAAGCATCGAAAGTGGCCAAACCAACACTTGACATATCTGGGTTTCCCCAGATATCTTCTAATACCTGACTTTGGTTATTATGGTAAGATAACATCACATGTCCATTTTATACATTGCTTGTAAGAAACCAAAGTCAGCGTCCTATAAATAAAAGTATGACATGTCCCCTGATTTTGTGCACAATCATCAGATGCATCAGTCTTTTTTGTTTTTTCATTATTAAAAAGGACAAATCAATAATGTTTCTCTGCTCAACAGAGATTACCTTTCTAATGCTGATAACAGTACACGCTTCATGCTTTGTAAGCTGCTTAAAGCTTTTTTGTTGTGGAAATGCTGTATTTTACACTGCAGTGTACGTCTATGTCCTGATTGCCCATGTCTGACATTAATCTTCCCTTTGCAGAACTGGAGACTCCTAAAGCAAAGGACAAACCTCCTGTAGAAAAGAAAGGTATAGTGCTTAATAAAGTGGTACAATTTATATTAGTTTATCCTGCTAACGCATATATTGGTGCATGTTTGTCAGGAGTGAATGTGTAAGGATATTGTTGAATATGATACAAACCTTTCACGAGAAATGTTTCTCAAAGTAAAAGAATGCTGTTTGTTTCATCAAGTAAATTTTCTCCCTGATGGTGCAGCCATGTTGAAGGAAAAGGTCAAACCAGTCCAAGTGAAGAAAGGTACATTAGTGGTGCTTCAGTAGAGGCAGCACCAGCAGTGGTAATCTGATTACTGAAACATATATACGTTATAAGTAACACTATCTAATATCTGCAAGACAGAAAATCCCTTTTTAGCTGCACTCTAGAATGAAATGGGACATTAAATGTGGAGCGTTACCTCTTCCTTTCCTGACAATGAAACAACACAGTAATCCATTTCTTACCAACTTGTGTCTGTTTCATATTTGTGAAAACAGAGAATGAGGTTTCAAAACTAAAGGTCAAACCCACTGCAACAAAGAAAGCTACTGAACACAGTCAGCTTCAATAAAGATACAGTATTATAGCTGAATGTACTTAAAGTATCAAAAGTAAAAAAAAGCAGAAAAATGTGCCTTGTGAGTCTTACATAGTTATATTATTGCTGATGCATTAACGTGAAAGTAGCATTTTACTGTTTTATTTGGTCAAGCTGGAGCTAACTGTTTTACATTCTGTGGTAGTTTAATTTGTAACAAAGCATCATATTCTCCAAATAATTCAGTGAAGTAAAAAAACGCAATATTTCCCTCTGAACTGAAGTGAAGTAGAAGTCTCTGAAAGAAGTCAAAATTTAAACCAAACAGTTTACAGTACACATACTTGTGTGTACTATAGAACTGAATTATTCATCGGCTAAAACAAACCTTTTTTTTTTTGTTAGAAAAACCAGTTGAGAAGAAGACAGCCAAAGAGGAGAAAGCTGAAGGTACATGGTGTGATCAGCTGTGAACATTAAGATAACCCAGTCAACAGAATGTCATCACCAGTCTGCGATTAAACACTGCCAGGGAATTGTTTGAATGTTGAATAGTTATTATGAATTGTGTATTTCTGTTTACAGAGGACAGAGTTCTTAAAGAGATACAGCCGCCTGCAAAGAAAGGTATCTTGTTTGTCAAGTTATCAAACTGCTGAGAGTTTGAAATGAATCGATGGAACTTGATTTACTAATTCCTGTTTTTTTTTGTAGAAAAATCTGTAGAGAAGAAAGCTGCCAAAGAGGAGAAGATTAAAGGTATTGTGTGAATGTGCTGTCATAAGGTAATACAAAGTCATATATCACTGTATTGTTTTATGGTTAATTAAATTTATGTTCTCTTTTTAACAGCAGAGCCTGCTGTATCAGACTTTCTTATGGACGGTAAGTGCAAATTCAGTTCTCATAACCAAAATATCACACAAGTGTCAAATTGCAAACTCAGTCGTCTCTCTGGCTGCCAAAGCAAGGCGAGGAACGCACTGTACTGACCTGTGCTGTGACTCCCCCAACAGACGAGCTGCCCTACTTCCAGTGCTTCTTTGTGGATGAGGACGAGGCCCAGTTTCCGTTCTACGCCTTCTCGCCGCTGCAGATTTGAAGCTTCAGTCTGACGCCAGTCTGAGGTTTACAGTTTACAGTGTAGTCAATTTCCTGATAATGACAAGGTCACATCACACCCTGTGCTGCTGAAACGCGGCTGCTGTTCACTGTTGGTCTGCAGGAGAAAAAAGCCTGGACAGCAGAGGATGATGGGTGATGGACCATTATTTTATTTCCAGATTTGGTTGAGCTCTCGTACCAAATACATGCAGCTAATGTCATTCCTTTTTTTTTCTGATTTCTGTTTTTATTTTTTTATTTTTTTGCATTCAATTCTTTTGAAAGGTGGATTTCATTTATATTTTACATGGAACAATCTAGTGTAGGATCATTCATTTAGATCCTCGAAGCAACACATGCAAATACGTTTAATATAATTTACTACTCACTTCATTTTCTCATGATGTAAAAAAAGAATGACATCTGCACTACTGTACAATGGTGCAGTTTTTTAAGTAGTAACGTAGTATTGAATATGTTCAACCGTGCTGTAAACAGGGTACAAAAAATGGCCACAATCACTAATCCAAGGCTTACAGGGGTTCAGTTCCTCTAAGCCCACGTTTACTTGAAAAGTGGTTTGTACATGAATTTTTATGCTTGTTCATGTGTGTAGTTTATTTTCTTCATCGCATGGAAAATGGCAAAATCTTTAATACCCTGCTTCTATAGCCCTTTAATCAACAGTTGGACTTCTTTTTAGTGTTTGTGCATAATTTCATAATCTTGATATTATTTTATTTATTTCAATGAATTTTTTTTTCCTCTCACATCTTCCTCTTTTCCTTCCCTACTGGGCACACAAAGGGAATCAAAGCATTACTAAAAGGAAATTGATCTTCTTTGCATTTTTAAAGACACAGCACCAATGTTTGTTTTTTTTCTTTTGTTTCTTAGTTGTTAATTGTCAAAAGGAATGACTATGCACTGTATAAGAGAGCTCCCAATCTTACTCATGAAACACTACCTGACATGTTGACATTTAAAGTCTTATTAAACTTTGTCATCTAGACATTTGCACCAGCTCCTCATTTTGATATTGGTGCTAATAAGAAGCGTTGCATTGCCTGAACTCTCAGAATGAGGTTTGAGGTCTTTTTTACATTGTAATTGTTTCTGGCGTCAAGTATCAGATTCATTCTGTAATTACTCTGATAGACCAAAAACACACTGTGACTGACTTTGGTCGTTGTCCGTGTGCACAACATAGAAACTTGACATATTTTGGAAACCATTTGCGAAGGTTCAAGAACGTGGCAGAAGAGTCAAAGACACTATTTCCAGGTTAAAAGTCTTTGAAAATAATATTGTGTATTTCATGCTGCTGGTCTACATAATATTAATGCGTATCTTTTTTTGACTTTTTAAATGCAGCATAATATAAACAGGATTTATATTATATGGATATCCTGTACTTAAGATGTACAGGCAGGCCTACCTGATGTCAGATTGATTTCGAAAACTGATATTGGTCATAAACTCAAAGCCAATTCATGTATTTGAAATCTCTGAAAAATGATATATAGACAGTACCAATGTTGGCATCAATGTGGTTATGTTTAATGTTGAAACAATGACATCTTTGATTATAGCTGTTGATCATGTGATCACACTCTTAAGTTGTTGCAGAGGGTGTTGCATGTTCGGGCAGATGATCTCAGATGTTAATTGTCACATTAATTCTCAGTCAGCTTGTAGCAGCTGTTGTTTACATATGGCTCTTTACATTTTGCTCCATATGCTGCATAGAAGACAGTTATAACAGCTTGCAGTACTAATCTGAGTCCACATGAATGTAAATCCACTTATATTTCTTATTAAAATTATATGAACACACTTTGGTGCATAAGACCCTCTGCAGCTCACACCGAGCTCAGGCTCCAGTAACTGTAGTGTAACAGCTGGAGTTTTGTGGCGATGTTCCACCACGACTGTTGAAGTTGTGGGTAAAGACACTGTCCTGTCTTTGAATATTTCTAGAAGTTATTGGATTTTAGGAAAGAAGATGTGTAACTAAAAACATTTTGATTGATGGCAGCAACAGATTATTTGTCTCAGTCGTGTTAACTGAATTATATCAGAAGACTCACTTTTACCAAGTGAATATGTGCAATACATAAATATTTGATGATCTCAGTGATGAAGCACTGTATGTTTGTCTGACAGTCCTAGAATGAAATGTGCATGATGTGTGTTTTTATTTTATGCTCTCAAATGTTTATATTATAATTTTCCCCAACCTTGAGAATAGCAACACTAAATACTTGAACTCATGAATCCAATAAATGATATTTTGTCTCTGTGTAGTGTTGCTAACATCATATAATTACAGTTACATAACTGTAATTAAAGTAACCTCATTGTAAATAGTTAAATTAAAGGAAAAATAGACTAGAGATTTGCTGAAAATGATGTTTTCAATCATTACTACTGAAAGTGCTCTTTACCTTCAAATCACATTATGTTTCATTTGTCGGTGACACCTTCATTTTGTCTGTGAATAGTAGCAATTTAACATTAAAACATAGCAATGCAATGCAAAATTGTAAATCTTGTCTTTGCTTTAACAATGCTGACCATGACATTTCTAACAGTGTGAGAGTGAGAGTGTATGACAACTTTGTTTTTTTTCTTTTTATCACTTAACAAAATAGAAAATCCTTGAATATATGAATATGCACACCTGCATATGTTCACTAGGTGTCAAGGATAGACAGGATTTTCAAAAGACTGGGATTATGAGTCCAAATTCCTCCAACAAAAACCCACCCACCAAAGAAATTATGAACTTGATGACACCCCGAGTATTTTAAGAGTATTTTAAGAAATTACAGAATTTTAGATTTTATTTATTTAGTTATTGTATTGAACAGTTATATTAGTATGTAACTGTGGTGAGTAATAAATCTTTTATTTTAAATTTCATAAAAAAAAGGACAGTATAATGAGCCTAAAAAATATCAATATCCGCCTTAAGAAACAAAATATTTGTTTGTCCACACTATACATAAACGTCTTTTCATGTCACTAAACTCCCTGAATCTGGAGAGATTTTACCTCAGACATGACATCAGTGTCCTCAGTGGCAGATACGGCCCTGATGAGTGTATGTGTGTTTAAATGGGAAATATTAGGAGTAGGACAATGGAGCCACACTATACATGGTCAGGTCTTCACACTGTATTTCCCTAATGAGGCCAGAGAGAGGTTACTACAGGTCGGCTTACACCACTGACACAGATTCCTCACAGAGGAAACTCCTGCTGCTCTGCTGGGAGGAGTAGCGAGGACACACTGGAGGCTATACTGAACCACTATCTCTCACTGTTTCATGGAATGTGATAAGCTACCACGATTTCTTTACTGTGATTGTGCTGCTGTGAATATCGTGACATGAACTCGCCTGAACCTGTCTCTCAACTGTTTTCACCCCAAATACTTATGCAAATGATTTGAGAGTAGAGGCAGTTTTTGCGGCACCATAACTGGAGCATAAAGACAGATTTTGATTGAAATTAATTCAGCGGGCAACGGTCAAATGAGTTCCACTCCAGTTACCACAGTTTCTTTGTGTCGCCGGCTATTCAGTGGTGACCAGAAACTTGGCAGCCTGTGTGTTGAGATGGGAAGATTGGTAACTTGTAGCGGCAGTGATCAGCAGACTACACACAGCTCACAGGGCAAGACTGGGAGACCTGCTCCTTAAAATGTGAGAAAGATGGAGGATAAATGAGGAGACTTTAAACTGAACATGATCTTTAAAACACCACCAGTTGGACAATGGTTTATTGACAGACTCCATATTTCGACCTTGAACTACTAAGTGTTGAATATTGGATTGGAGCAAACTGTCCGCATCCTGCACAGTGTCCTCTCTCTGCCTGTCATGCCAGCGGCAGCATTCAGTCACGGTTGGCCCACACCATCGAATGATGCCTCTACGTAATGACACCACAACCTTAACTGGATTATCCCGAGGCGAGTGACATCACCACCCCCACCCCCACCTCTCCATCCCCTCCAGCTCCTAGCCGGCCGTCTCTGACCATCTGGGGGTTACTACAGGACATTCCCGCCCATGAGTTCAATGGTCACACTGGCTGCTGCTGCTGCACGGCCGGCTCTGGCCTGCACCATCACCCTGCAGCTGTCACCTGGGACTGACCCATCACAGGGATTGCACTGTTCCCACAATTTGGGCTGATATATTTGAAAAAAAAAAATGCAGGACTGCATTCGAAGTTACATGAAAGAAAGACATCCTATGTGCATAAGAGTACTCTGTTGGGATAAAGTGGCACTGATGGTTCTCTGATGACTTTTAAATACCAACTGAAAAATCTGACACATTACAAAGTTTTATTCAAGCAGTTTATTTTTCCCTTTGTCACATGCGACAGACTCTTCACAGTCTGAATTTCTTAGAAAAGATCTTATAAAAGTTTCCCCAAAATATTTATCTCAGGTTAAAACAACAAATTAAGTGCAAGTCACTGCATGCAATAAAAACAACATTTTTCTTTTTATAAAAAAAAACAGTAGAACACCTTATTGATCGTTCGCAGTGCTGGGATGATTTGCTCTTTCAAGTGGATGGTAATGTTTAGGCTTTCTCATATGTGCGGACTGCCTGGACTCCCTCGAAGGTCAAAGTCTGTGAAGCAGAGTTGAAGACAGCACTTAATACATGATGACAGGTAACAGTTGGTGGCATTTTTAATGTAATGTTTGGAAATCATGCATTGTTTTCTTCAATGCATTTGGGTTATATATCAGTTATTGCACCACTACATAGGAAAGGCAAGGTCAGTTTATTTTGTGCAGCACCTTTGAATTCAAAGAGCTGTACATCAGCACTAAGGGGTAAATGGCTCCATAAATTGAGAAATGTAATGAAAAGATTTCTCTTTTATTGAAGCAGCTCACCATCACCATCTTCCCATCCTTGATTTCTCTGACAAATTTGGTCTCTTTCCCGTCCCACTTCTGCACCTGCACCAGTTTGTCTCCTTCCATGGAGAAGGTAGACTGCAAACACAGACAGCGTATTTAAAACAACCCCGAAAGAAGTCTTTAACCAGCAACACATCTCACAACAGAGACTCAGCTACACAGGGTGTCTGTACACTGTAGATTGTGTTAAGAGTGACTCCACTTACTTTGACATGTCGGTCATCAGGTGTGGTCTCATCAAACTCTTCTCCCAGTTTGGAGGAGATCTCAGTGTTTCTGAAGGTGCTCAGGGTTTTCACTACTACTTTGTCACCATCTTGGCTGATGACTATTGTTGGTTTGGTGACATTACCCACTTGTCTTGTGGCAAAACCAACACCTGTACAAAAGCAATAAATCCACTCTTAACAGAGCTTACACTGATGCATCATAATTTATGACATCGACAGCTATGAATTTTACTCATTTTCTGTACTTCAAATTAAGATATTTGAGAAGGAAAAAAGCAGCTACTATCCCAGTTAGTAACACAAATGTAAAATAATTGTAGCCTTCAGCAGAAAACTTTGCCCACAATATAAATCCAATCCAACTTGCTCACCAAGTGCCTTCATGTAGTCATCAAAGTTCTGGCTGTCGACTAGTTTCCATGTAGCACAGAAAGCATCAACCATGTTTGCAGATGTTAGTGGTCCAGCTCAGTGTCAGACTGTCAGACGGTGACTCTTGCAGCGTGTCTGCCTGCCACATTAATACTGTAACACTGGGCAGCGACGTAAGACGCGGCGTGACACCTGATTGGATGATCCTGGCGCGTTGTGAGCTGTAATTATTTACTACAAACCTTTTTTTGTTTAGCAGGTGCCCTCCCAGCTAACAATTTTCGGTTCCGGGAACGTTCCGCGAACTACCGTCAGCGAACAAACTTTTTTCTTTTTATTTGTGTTTTTGTATTTTTATAGCTTCATGGACTTTCTCATAAGCGAGCAGAAATTATTACGTATGCAGCCAGTGCCTTTGAGGTGTACATTTTCTATCAGCTGCCAAACATCATGCATCAAGTATCGAGGTATATTTATCTTTTTGACGGCTGCAGTATTTTTACCCTTTTATTGTTATTTCCTATAAATACGTTTATTGTATAATGCACCAAACACCAAGCTAAATATCCTGTAAATGAAAACCTACCTGGCAATAAACCTTATTTTCTGATTCTGCCGTTGTGATGATGTCATCATCCCTTACTCATACTGCTATAGCCAAGGACCACCCGTGTATCATGCAGTATCCCCCTGCCATCATATTTTTATAGGTAAATAAAAACATAGTGTTTGTATTACAAGTATTCATAATTGGTTTCAGTGCTATCTACAATATTCACAATAGCAATAGTGAATACACATATAAATAATAAATTATAAGGAACGTAGGGAAAACAACAATATGATTATGGACACAATATAACTGCTGTAGCTGAGGAAAGCAAAATGATAAACATGGAACTATACATTGAAAATTGCAATAGCTGTGTCATCCAAGTATTTCTGGATGTAGCAAGACTCAGAGTTGTATATAAAGTCCGCCATATACAGGGTGAACAGAAACAGAGCCAGAACAGTCCTCTGTGGAGCCCCAGTGCTGCTCATCTGACTGGTATGTAGTCATTTATCTCAGCCGGTCGGCCTACTTTAGGTACTGGAACAAGACATGATGTTTTCCATAGGACCCGGACCCTCCCTGTTTGTAGACTTAAGTTGAAGATCCTCTGGAGAGGCTCAGCCAGCTGGGCTGCACAGTCCTATAACAGCCTCGGACACACACCATCCGGGCCTATTGCTTTCTCAGGAAGTAGCCTCTTGAGCTCTAGCCTCACCTCAGCCGCTGTAAAGGACAGGAGACTTGACCCCAGTATGGAGGGAGATGCAACTGCAGTATCAGGTTGTTAAGGAGATGCTCATATTCATAAAGTTAAGTCCAGTGTAATCCTAGAATAATACATGTGTGAAAAATTACTTTGCTATCATGGAAGTACATTTTCATTTTCAAGTTTACATGATCATCTCAATAATATCCCTAATAGGCTTCTATAATAATTTTAATTTTTATAATTTTAATGTTATTTTTCTGCACCAGATGCTTTGAGGATGGAACATATATTATACATATACATATTATAATCATGGGTTGTGCATTCAAAGGAGAATCTAACCCTTTTTAAGAATTCAAATTTCTCATTCCTGTGCCCCAGAAAAGATTGGTGAATATTTGTGAACATTCAGCACTCTCCTCTAAAGTTAAGAACCAAAGGTAGAACCTTAAAATGTTCAATGTCATCCAAATTTGTTCCATAACAATGAATGAGGCTCTGATGCTGTGAGGCTACAAAATGTATGAGTCATTTCTCACACTGAAATAAATGTTTCGAATCTTAAACTTTACAACCAATTCAAAATCTGGATGAGACCATTACACAGCTACTGTAGATGACGTTTTTATGACTTTTTAAGCCTAATTATGCTTTGACAGTTTTAGTACATTTGATGCTTTGCTATACAATGACTTGTTTGTGACTTTTTATTCGTTTTCATGACTTACTATACTATCATTTATACATATACATATACGTTTTAATGACTTTTTATACCTTACTATAATATGACATTTTTACGTCATTTTATATACTGACATTTTTGTGCTTACAAGATTATGATGTTTTTGTGCCATTTTATGCCTTACTATACTGTGACTATTATATATCTATGATGTTTTTTCTGATATTTTTATGCCTTAGTATGCTATGACGTTTTCTTGCCTTACTATACTATGATGCTTTAATGCCTTACTATACTATGACGTTTTTATGACTTTTTTTGCCTGAGTATACTATGACTTTTTTTACCTTATTATACTATGACATTTTTATGACTTTTTATGCCTTTCTACTATGACGTTTTTATGACTTTTTATGCCTTACTATAGTATGACATTTTCATTCCTTTTTTTGCCTTACCATACTATGACGTTTTTGTGCTTTACCATACTGTGACCTTTTTATACCTTACTATACTATGAATTTTTATGACCTTTCATGCCTTAATATACTATGATGTTTTTTTGACGTTTTATGCCATACTATAATATGACGTTTTTTGGGATTTTTATACCATACTATACTATGTCGTTTTATTACTTAACATACTATGAGTTTTTATGACCTTTTATGCCTTAATATACCATGATGTTTTTTTGACATTGCTATACTATGACGTTTTATGATATTTTTATGCCGTACTATACTATAATGTTTTTTGGCATTTCTATGCCCTACTATGCTATTTCCTTTGATGCCTTACCATACTATGATGTTTTCATGACCTTTTATGCCTTAATATACTATGATGTTTTTTGACGCTTTATGCCATACTATACTATGACGTTTTTTTATAATTTTCATGCCATACTATACTATGATGTTTTTTGGCATTTTTATGCCTCACAACATGATGTCGTTTTATTCCTTACCATACTATCACGTTTTTATGACATTTCATGCCTTAATATAATAAGATGTTTTTTGACCTTTTATGTAATACAATACTATTACGTTTTTTATAATTTTCATGCCATACTATACTATGACATTTTTTGGCATTTTAATGCCCTACAATACTATTTCCTTTAATGCCTTAACATACTCTGTCGTTTTTATGACCTTTTATGCCTCAATATAATATGATGTTATTTTTACCTTTTATGCCATACTATACTATGACGTTTTTTATGATTTTCATGCCATACTATACTATGACATTTTTTGGCATTTTTGTGCCTTACTGTACTACTTCATTTGATGCCTTGCCATACTATGATGTTGTTATGACGTCTTATGCCTTAATATACTATGATGTTTTTTTGACCTTTTATGCCATACGTTTTTGGCTATTTTTGGCTTTGAGGTTTTTTTGGCATTTTTATGCCCTATTATGCTATTTCCTTTGATGCCTTAACCTACTATAACGTTTTTATGACCTTTTATGCCTTAATATAATATGATGTTATTTTGACGTTTTATGTCATACTATACTATGACATTTTTTTTTTAATCATTTTCATGCCATACTATACTATGACGTTTTTTGGCATTTTTGTGCCCTACAATACTATTTCCTTCAATGCCTTAACATACTATGACATTTTTATGACCTTTTATTCCTTAATATACTATGATGTTTTTTTTAGCTTTTATGCCATACTATACTATGACGTTTTTGGGCATTTTCATGCCTCACAACACTATGTTGTTTTATTCCTTACCATACTATGATATTTTTATGACGTTTTATGCCTTAATATACTATGATGTTTTTTTGACCTTTTATGCCATACTATACTATGATATTTTTTAATATTTTTATGACATGCTATACTAAGACGTTTTTTGCTATTTCTATGCCCTACTATACTATTTAATTTGATGCCTTGCCATACTATGACGTTTTTTATAATTTTCATGCCATACTATATTATGGTGTTTTTTGGCATTTTTATGCCCTATTATACTATTTCCTTTGATGCCTTGCCATACTATGACGTTTTTATGACCTTTTATTCCTTAATATACTATGATGTTTTTTTGACCTTTTATACCATACTATACTATGATATTTTTTAATATTTTTATGCCATGCTATACTAAGACGTTTTTTGCTATTTCTATGCCCTACTATACTATTTAATTTGATGCCTTGCCATATTATGGCGTTGTTATGACCTTTGATGCCTTAATATACTATGATGTTTTTTTGACCTTTTATGTCATACTATACTATGACATTTTTTAATATTTTTATGCCATACTATACTATGATGTTTTTTTTCTATTTCTATGCCCTACTATACTATTTAATATGATGCCATACCATATTATGACGTTGTTATGACCTTTTATGTCTTAATATACTATGATGTTTTTTTGACCTTTTATGCCATACTATACTATGACATTTTTTATGATTTTCATGCCATACTATACTATGACATTTTTTGGCATTTTTATGCCGTATTAGGCTAGTTCCTTTGACGCCTTACCCTACTGTGATGTTTTTATGACCTTTTATGCCTTAATATAATATGATGTTATTTTGACCTTTTATATCTTAATATACTATGATGTTTTTTTGACCTTTTTATGCCATACTATACTATGACATTTTTTTTGGCATTTTTATGCTCTATTACACTATTTCCTTTGATGCCTTGCCATACTATGACGTTTTTATGACCTTTTATTCTTTAATATACTATGATATTATTTTGACCTTTTATGCCATACTATACTATGGCGTTTTTTATGATTTTCATGCCATACTATACTATGACATTTTTTGGCATTTTTGTGCCTTACTATACTATTTCATTTGATGCCTTGCCATACTATGATGTTGTTATGAAGTTTTATGCCTTAATATACTATGATGTTTTTTTTAACCTTTCATGCCATACTATACTATGACGTTTTTGGGCATTTTTATGCCTCACAACACTATGTTGTTTTATTCCTTACCATACTATGATATTTTTATGACGTTTTATACGTTAATATACTATGATGTTTTTTTGACCTTTTATGTCATACTATACTATGACATTTTTTAATATTTTTATGCCATACTATACTATGATGTTTTTTTTCTATTTCTATGCCCTACTATACTATTTAA